TTTTTACTTTATGTAGCCCAGGCTGACCTGGAACTTGATATGTGGCCAAGGTTGATCCTCCTGCCTCTACCTCCCAGGTGCTGGGGTTCAAGAATGTGCCATGTTGCTTGGCTTCATCACTTATTCTTGTAAAAAACATTGAATCTGATTTAAGAGGCAAGAGAACCTGTTAATACAGGGATACAATCAACAAAATCCAGACCATGGAAGCTTTGTTGGATAAACAACCTGATTTCTTTAACAAATAAATTGCAAGGAAAGAGGTAGGATAGGGATGAGAATGGGAGAGGAATGAGTGGGGATGATTCAAAGAGACCTAAGGGGCTAGGAGGTGGCCTAGTGGGTAAAGCACTTGTCTTGCAAGTGTGAGAACATGAGTTCAAATCCCTAGAACCTCTGTAAAGCCAGGCATCGTACATATGTGTGCTCTCAGAGATGGAGAGAGATGGAAAGATGGGAACAGAGATAGGCAGATCCCTGAAAGCTCGAGGGCCAGCCAGCTTGACTTACATGAGGAAATTTCAGACCAATGAGAGACTCTCAAAGGTAGAAGGCACTTGAGGACCCACTCCCAAGCTTGTCCTCTGACTTACACACAATGTGCATGTGCATATCTGTACCCACACATTTGAATACATAAATACATGCACAAAAAAGTGTAAAAAGAAACATAGAAATACAGTGATTAACAAAAGGTATAGACTTCATTTGAATACTGAATCAAATTGAAAAATAAAATCAAATATATAATCAAAAAATGTGAGACAAATGGAAATTTGAACACTGACTAAATATCAATGCTACTTAGGAATTTATGTCTCCTTCTGTTTGGCAAAGTAAAATGTCAGGTTGTCCGGTCTCAGACTACTCTTTATAGTAAGCTGTACTACAAGGAGCCTGCCCTGCCTTGCTAGCCACATTAAAAGTAGTTTTTGCATCTGTATCGTTAGCTTTTCATCTATGGATTTTGGTTGTTTCATTTGAGATAGGGTCTAACATGGTGCAGGCTGACCTTGAACTCCATGTTCATTCTCAGACATTGCTATGTGCTGAGGTGCTTTTGCTTTTCTGGTGGCAGGATGTCTTGATGCTGAATGACTTCAGTGAAAAGACTAATGTGTAAGGAAAGCTGTATGACCAGGAAAGGTATAGCCCTGTATGGGGTTAGCTGGTTTTAAGTTCATGCTTTTTTTTTTTAATAAAAGTAGGGTCTCGTGTATCCAAGGCCAGCTTTGAACTCTCTTTGTAGCTGCAGATGATCTTTCTGTCTCTACACATGTACCACCACACCTGGCTACAGCTGTGTTTTTCTTATATTACAGGTATTTGATGGCAATTGACAGAAGAGGTGGCCCTACAGTAGCCAAGGAGACTGTTAAGCTAGCTAAAGAGTTCTTCCTGTCTACTGAGGATACAGTTCTTGGCCTTGACCTCAGTGGAGACCCTACTGTAAGTTACTTCATCTAACTCTCTGCACGCTCCCTTACTACCTGCACCCAATTTCATGTACTCTAACACACACACACACACACACACACACACACACACACACACACACATATGGGTTAGCTTGGAGCATCGTGCATTCTCCATGGGGTCTAGTGGACCTGGACCTGACTGATCTACCCTGGATGACTAGAGTATGTATTGTAACATTTTTTGAGGGTTCTGTGAAAGAAATACCACAAAAATAGGTTCTAGATACTATATATGTGACCATTTTCTCCATTCTTCTAAAAATTATACACAACTAGTAACATCTATGTGCACGAAGTTAACTCATTATATACAATGGATGGATAAGAGGGTTAGGGCTTAATTATTTCACAGAACCCCTAGGAAAGCAAAATTGGCCTGAGCATCTCAAATGAAAGATTCAAGCAAAAGTTTTGACATTTGGGGCCAAATAGTTCTTCGCTGTGGGGTTGTCCTATGCACTGTAGGATGTTTAGTAGCATTCCTGGTCTATATTCACTGTATGCCAGCAGCATCTCCCCAGTGTGACAACCCAAAGTGTCTCCAGGCATTATTACTACATGTCGCCTGGAGGGCCAAATCATTCCCTGTTGAAAGTCACTGGATGAGAATCCCTCGTGAAACTGATTCTGATGGCTTTATCTAAACCTGGCCTTCTTTTCATCCATCCATTTAATCGGGTTTTGTTTTTGTTTCATCATGAAAGCTTCCTGAATCAAGTGAGTTTCCATAATACTAGATATCTCTGTGTCCTTCCAGAAATAAAACTTCTTGCCTGCCATATCCAGCTGCTGATTGGCCTTAGGCTCACTGATACTAGACCAGATTTTCAAGGTCAGGGATATGCCTTTTCAGCTTTGTATTCATAGGTGCTCACTAAACAAAATGCACAAACAAAATCAACCTTTCATTGTTATTTCCTACCATTATTTTTTTCAGTTGTTTATTGGGGCATTAACACCAAATTCCTCAGTTTGTCAGAATTCTCATGCATCCTCATGTTTTCTTTTATTGTCAAGCTAGGACAAGCAAAAGACTTCTTGGAACCGCTCTTAGATGCTAAGAAGGCAGGTCTGAAGTTGGCATTGCATCTTGCAGAGGTAAATAATGTTGGAGACTGGAGAGAGCAGATTATAATAAAAAATATAGTTGTTTAGAAGTAACCAGAAATAAACCTATCTTAGAAAAACTCTTTTCTTTCCTTTTGAGACAGACTCTAATGTAACATAGGCTAGCCTGGAGCTCACTTTGTGGTTGAGGGTGACCTTAAACTTCTGGTCCATCTACCTTCACCTCCCAAGTGCTGAATAGGGGTTATAAACATGTGCTACCATGCTGTGCTTAGAAAACATTTATTTTATTTCATTTTATTTTTTAAAATATTTTATTATTTTTATTTTATGTATGAGTATATTGCCTGCATATATGTGAGTGCACCTGTTCCCCACCCCTGCTACTTTGAATTAGCACCACTGTGGTGTAGTCTGGAGTTGGGCATCATCCTCTGGCCTGAACTCATGCCTGTTCCAGTGTTTCAGTGTTTATCTTAAATAATATTTTATTATTTTTATTTTTTATTGTATGAATACATTGCCTGCATGTGTATAAGTGCACCTGTGTCATGCAGTGCCTGTGGAGGTCAGAAGAGGGTGTCAGATTCCCTGGAACTAGAATTATGGACAGTTATAAGCTGCCATCTGGGTGCTGGGAATCAAGCCTGGATCCTCTGAAAGAGCATACAGTACACTTAACTACTGAGCCATCTCTCCAACCCCTAGAAAAACATTTTTAAAGAGGGAATCCAGACATATTTTGTAGATGTTAGTGAAAATATTTAGACGTGAATTGCTTTAGTTTAGTGTTACTATTTTTAAGTTTTTGTGGTTCTTATTAGACTGACCAGTTATGCCTGGCCTATACATAGTGTCAGAACCTGCTATTTACACTAGTTTCTCATTTGCTCCATTGAATATCAAATACTTTATTTCAAAATGTTGTGGTCATTTGCCTTTTGGACCATCTAGGAGACAAAGAGCATGGCTAGATATATTATGATATGTCCATATCTAGCCTTGTTGAAATGAAACATGAGCACGCTGAAGGAAGGGTGTGGGCCTTGGAGTCCGATAAAGTTAGTTTACCCTTACCTCCACCATCCCAGACTGTGAACAATGTTTTCAAGAATATGATTTTAGCTATAAAAGGTTTATGTACCTGAAGAAATTTCAAGTATAGGGAATTATAGTACAGAAGGAAAAAGTTTAAAATGCTCCCCAGAGTTGATATTGTTAACAGTTTTGTGTTTATACTTTTCTAGACTTTTTTCTAATATATGTAAACACACACATAAAAAATTTAAATTTTTTTTGTTTAAAATTTTTTTACTGAGTTTTTTTTTTTCATGTTCATACTTTAGAAGATTGTTGTTAGGCCTTAAAAGATTATTGTTAAAAGGCACACAGTAGAGTTTTAGTCAGTTTCCATTACCAAAATGAGTCTAGGACTTGAAGCAGGAAGGAGAAGGTAAAGGTAGAGGGGCTGGGGGTACAGCTCAGTGGTAGAGCACTGCTTAGCTGCGTGAATGAATGAGGCCCTGGCACATATGCCCCCTCAAAAAAAAAAAAAAAAAAAAAAAAAAGGCCCTTGAGAGCTGGGAAGGTTTTAAAATGTTAGCATTCACTTCTCAGGGACAGAATACCTGCTATAGAAAAAGGTATTTTAAGAATCATTGAAAGAGGTGATTGATACCTTCTTCTTACTTTTCTAAAGATTCCAAATAAAAAAAAGGAAACACAAATGCTGCTGGATCTGCTTCCTGACAGAATTGGGCATGGAACATTCCTCAACTCCTCTGGGGGAGGATCCCTGGATCTAATAGATTTTGTAAGGCAGCACCAGATACCACTGGGTAAGCCTTAGCATTTCTTGTCTCCCAGACAACCCTCTGGCCCTTCTTCCTTGCCCCACAAACCTTATGTGGAAAAGTATTGTTCTAAAATTACAAATACTTAAACATTAAAAGATATGTGGTGGTGCTTTAAATACTCATTTAAATACTGAAAGTTTAGCTTTCATGTAAATATAAGTTTCATGAGAGGAAGGCTCTTTTTATCTCTATCCATTCTGTTCACTGACTGCTGTAGTCCCCAGTGCTTAGAACTCAGTAAGTCTTTTTTTTTTTTTTAAGAAATTTGGGTCAGGGGCTGGAGAGATGGCTCAGCAGTTAAGAGCACTGGTTGCTTTTGCAGAAAATGTGAGTTCAAATTCCAGCACCTACATGGTGGCTAACAACCATCTGTAACTCCAGTTCCAGGGGACCTGATGAACTCTTCTGGCGGAAGATGGTTGAAGGAGGGGCGGAAGCTGTGCATGCCTCCCAGAAGTAATTTTTAGCAATACCATTGCACACTTGATTGTGAATGTGTTTATGAAGTAACCACTTTGATGTAATTACTGCACTAATTGCTGGAAATTGAGCAATAAACAAAATAGACCAAGTTTCCTTCACAAGAAACTCCTTTCAGTAGAAGATAACAAATACATTTTGAAAATCAGTGTTAAGTTATATGAAGGAAATTACACAGGCTGATGTACCTGGCTTGTAATCCTTCCTTTCCATTTTGGTAAAAGAAAGAGAAGCACATTGCTATAGAGAGAGCATTCATTCCTTGCCTGATGCCACTCTAACCATAGTTGTAGCATATATTTCTGCATAATTACATTGATTGAACTAAATTTGTGAGTTTATGTGTAATGTTTGGAAATGAATTAAGGGCCTTGCACATGCTGGGCAGGCACTCTGCTGCCTAGCTTCCCAACATGAACTACAGATTTTCACATTACATTTAGTGAAAGATCCATTTTGCGATTTGAAACTGCTATAAATCAGCATAGCTTGGAAAGGTTTCTCATGAATCTTCTTGATGACCACTGAATGAGTTCACTTGCTTTTAATAGGAGTTTTTCTCTTCCTTTCATCTAGAACTTTGTTTGACCTCAAACATCAAAAGTCAGACGGTTCCATCTTACGATAAGCATCACTTCAGATTTTGGTACAGCATTGCTCATCCTTCTGTGATCTGTGTAAGTTTTATGTTCCTGCTCCTTTTTAGTTGCTTCACTGAGCTAGGTTACATGTTCACTGCATAGCTGATTGCCTTGGGTTCCCTAGGGAAATGCCCAAGTAGAGGAGCTACTTGGCAAATGAGAAGCTGAAAGGGATTGGGTGACTGGTTTGGTTTGTAAGCAGAAGTCCAACAGTATCTGTCCAGGTTGAAGAGATGGCTCAGTGGTTTCCTGCTCTTACAGACTACCTGAGTTCAGTTCCCAGCATCCACATGATGGCTAACGCCCATCCTTAGCCCCAGTTCCAGGGAATCCAGTGCCCTCTTCTGGCCTCAACAGGCACCAGGCATGCGCATGGTACACTTACATACATGCAGGCAAAATGCTCATACGCAAAAAATAAAATCTTAAAAAATGCTAATGCCTAGCACCCATCCCGTGAGATTCCACTTTATTTGATCTGGGGTGAGTCCTTATATGGGTAAGCTTTAAAACCTCTATATGTGCTTTTTTTTTGTCTTTTTGAAGCAGGGTCTCCCTGTAACCCGTCTGGAACTCACTATGTAGACCAGGCTGGCCTTGAACTCACCAAGATACACCTGCCTCTGCCTCTCAAGTGCTGGGACTACAGGCATGTGCCACCACGCCCAGCATTATACGTGCTTTTAATATGCAATCAGGGTGAAGCACTTTGGTGTTTTTTAAAGTATAAACAAGTCTGTTATATATAATGCATTCATAGGCTCCTGTTTAGACTCCTGAAAGAAGAATGGGAAAACAGATTCTGAACAAAAATAAGTTTTTTAAAAAGCACTTTCTTGTTTATTTTGAAACACTCTTGTTTATATTGGCAGACTGATGATAAGGGTGTTTTTTCAACATACCTTTCTCAAGAATACCAACTGGCAGCTGAAACATTTAATTTGACCCAGTCTCAGGTATGGGATCTGTCTTATGAATCCATCAACTACATCTTTGCTTCTGACAACACCAGATCTGAACTGAGAAAGAGGTGGAATCACCTGAAGCCAGGAGTGTTACGCTTTTAAGCTGTATGAGGTGAACCACTTTCGATTATATGTTGTACCCAACGTTGTCCTGCCATATCCACTTAGTAAACTGTCTGTTACTTCCTTGGAAGTAGTAGCCAAGGACATGTGCTCTTAACACCAGCCCCTTACATATGAAAAATGCTCAAATGTCTTAAGCTGACTAGCAGGCCCTGAGGTCTTACACGGCTTTACATTGATGCTCCTTGCTGGAGGAACTGGAGGTTTAACTGAATTCCCCAGTGCACTAATGAATTTTTTTTTTTAGTTAGCATTTCTTCTCCATTAGTGATCATAAAACTTTCAGGAAGTCAAAGCAATTTCTCATCAGGAACACTGTCAGGATTATTAGTCCAAGGTAAGGAGAACAGAGAACAGATTGCTGCCAAGCCTTCTAACTTTTAACTAGAGCTCTGCATTGTGTTAGGTTTAATCTCCCTCCTTCCACTTTCTTTAACCCTTCTAAGTATTATTTCTCAAGACTACTGATGCCAGGCCACACCATGGATTTGTGTGATTGTCTAGCTGTCAGGTGACTCTAGTGCAAATAAAGCTAGCTGCTGAAATCTGGCTTTGCTCTTTTCGTGATGTCTTTATAAATATATGTCAGATTAAAGTAATTACTCCAGTTTAAGAATCAAAGGAAGGGGCTGGAGAGATGGGTCAGCAGTTAAGAGCACTAACTGGTCTTGCAGAGGACCTGGGTTTGATTCCCAACACCCACATGGTGGCTAACAACCATCTATAACTCCAGTTCCAGGGAATCAAAAACCTTCTGACCTCCACGGGCATTGCATGACACAGGTGCACTTAACACATATGCAGGCAATACACTCATGCACATAAAATAAAAATAAAAAAGAATCAAAGGAAGACTGGAGAACTGGCTCAGTAGTTAAGCTCACTGGCTGCTCTTACAGAGAACCTGGGTTCAATTCCCAGCACCCACATGACCACTAACCACCATCTGTAACTCCAGTTCCGGTGGATCCAACACCCTCTTTTGGACTCTGTAGGCATTACATACAGGGGTGCACTCATATACATGCAGGCAAAACACTCAGACATCTAAACGAATTTTTTGTTAATTTTTAATCAAAGGAGAGAATAGCTGGTGGAAATGAGAAAGACACATGGCTGGAACTCCTTTTTTAAAAAATTTTATGTACATGAGTGTTTTGCCTGCATGTATGTAAGTGTACCCATGTTGTACAATACCCATGGCAGCCAGAAGAAGATACTGATCCCTTGGAACTGGAGTTACTGATGGTTGTTAGCCACCATGTGGGTGCTGGGAATTGAACCAAGGTCCTCTGCAAGAGCAGTAAATGTTCTTAACTGCTGAGCCATCTCTCTAGCCCTACGGAGCTTCCATGTCTAAATCGGCTTCTATTCAGCTTTTTACTTGTGGAAGCTACAAGGATTTTAACGGTGCCAATATTCACTGTCACGCCATCTCCAATGGAGCCCGCGTGAGATCCTCCGCGGGTTGAGGCTGAAGCTTCAAGGAAGGTTGCCTCTTGGAACTGGCAGTGCAAAGAAGATCTTCAGTGTACTTGGCTGTATTTTGCTTGCTCTATCTTTATGACTGTCATTCTTTTATGAGTATCTAGGGGACACGGAGAGGACTTGGTGTCCTTGGCTTGGCTTCAGGGCTCGCCTCTTGATCAAAACCTTGATGTTGAGGATAAGGTCCTAGGAACTCGATTTCCTCAGAGGACCTTGTCTCCTGATGAACCTTTACTACTTAAAGCTATAATAGAAGCTGCTAGAAATAATCAGTCATGGAATATCATGGACAGAATAGAACAAGCAGAGATCATTATTTAGGAAGTCCTAAAGATGATGTATTTCCTAAAGTACAGGCAATTCAGGAAAGACTCTAATTCTGGTATTAGGAGAAAAAGAAAGTTACCACCAACTAATTTTGGTCCAGCTTATATTTGGTAGGAGGTAGATGATGGCATCGACCAAGACGGAAAGAAAGTGTGTATAAAATTCCAGAACCTATGGATGAACCACTGCTTTTTATAGGAGCATATGATTAGGAAGGGGGTAGATGGGAGGAAAAAGGATTTCTTGGTATTCATTACAATTCATGGACAGACTTGCCAGATTTGGGCCACCTTGGTGCCTGCTTAGTAAGGAACAAAAGGAGAGCATACAGAGACAATTGAAGATATTTCATATTTCTTGGAGAGAAAGATGGGATAATTATAAGTCCCATACTTGGAAGGGTTTCATAAGAGCTATAGGATTAGAATGGGATACTGATGTTACTTGGAGTTTGGGACAGTATAATGAACAAGGAAAAACAAAAAGCGGATATAAAGTAACAGTATTGTGAATCACCTGGAATTCAAATAGAAATACTAATGATTACAGAGCTAATATTGAAAGCACATATTGGTTTGAGGTCATCTCACTGCGTAACCACAGAATATAAACTTTGAAAGTCTCTAATGTGAACTCACCAAGATGAAAAACAGGAAACTTTCTGTTTAACATTAGTTGACGCTCGTTAAGATAATAGCATGCTTTGGCAATGTATTTTGACCGACCTGTCTTTCGTTTTTGTTTCTGAAATCAAAACTCTTAGAAAAGATTAACCGCAGAACAATGGCTTGTGGATGTAATCATGTAATTTTGTAATATATAATCTGAGCCTTGCAGCTGCAAAAATACACTCAGACCTTCACCAAATTTCTATGTGTTTGGTCTGTTTGTCATTCGCCAAATCCTTGTCCACCCTTTCGGGGACCCTGCTCCCGTTGGACTGAACTGCTCCGGTCTGGGCTGGTCCATCATAATTCACTTTTTCTTCATCCTGAATAGTTGCATTGTGGCTACTAGGGTTCTTAGGGTCTCCTAGGATGCTGTACCTACATGATGGGCCACTGGTACAGGCTTATATGAACACACATATACCACAGCTATTTTAGCTGAAGATAAGTAACAAAGATTTGTTCTGAATGGTAAGAAAAAGACTTTATTAGATACCAAGATATGCTTGAATTTCTTTCCTTCTACAATGTTTATTTTCCCTGTTATCAGAGGGGAACAATCCTGGTGACACCTTTAATTTCAGTTATTAAGGGTTAATAAGATTTCACTGTGTCTTTCTTTTAGGGGACAGTCTAGAGGGAAGTGCTTAGACTTTGAGTTCTTAGATATATGTTTATAACCTTACATTCTCTACTCACATCTAATCATGCAGATTTTTTTAAAAACTTAAAATGTAGGTTTTTTGTTTTTGTTTTTGTTCTTAGACAGGGTCTCTGTGTTGCCCTATCTGACCTGGAACTTGCTATGTAGATGAAGTTTGCCTCAATCTCATAGAGATATGCCCGTTTTTTTTGTTTTGTTTTGTTTTTGTTTTTGTTTTTTAATGGTGCTGGGGAATTGAACCCAAGGCCTTGAGCATGCTAATACTAGGCAGATACTCTACCACTGAGCTACATCACCCTTTAATGTGGGTGTTTTCTAGCCTCTGAGAATGTTATGGAATGAAAATTAATGACATAAAATTAATGTATATGGTGATATATTCAATGAGAAAATCTAGTTATAAGCAATTTTTAAAATTTTTTCTTTATTTTATTTTTATTTTATGTGTATGAGTGTATTGCCTGCATGTATGTGAGTGCACCCGTGTCGTGCAATGCCACGGAGGTCAGAAGAGGGCATCAGATTCCCCTGGAACTGGAGTTAAGGCCAGTTCGTAGCTGCTATGTGGGTGCTGGGAATCGAACCTGGGTCCTCTGCAAGAGCAGTCAGTGCTCTTAACCACTGAGCCATGTCTCCAGCCTCAGCTATAAGCAATTTTTATGGTCCATTTTTGTTACATATATATATATGTATATGTATATACTTACATAACACAAAAATTGGTAGGATGAGTGATTTTAATTTATTAGCTTTATTGTCAAATTTTGTTTACAGTATGAAAGTCAGGCTAGCTTTAACAGGACTAGGAAGTTAAGAAAGACATAGAATTCTTATTTTGAGGTTCTAGAATTTAAAATGTGTGGATTGGTCAATAAAGAGAATTCAGGTAACTTCAAACTTAATGGAAAAGTATTTAATGTTTTTCCCACAGATTGCAAATAAGTAAAGGCTATCTACTCCAACCATTGCACTTCAATCCTAGCCGGTGCAGTAAGAGTGAAATAAATAAGGCAGCTGATAAGTGCTGGGTGAGGGTAAGTTGATCTTCCTTAAGGGAGTGATGCTAGATAGGCTGAGTAGACTCCAGTGGATGAACTCACACTGAGAGACACCTGAGGACACAAACTTGGCTTGATAGGCCTTAACATATAAGACAAGAATTCATGGAATCTTGTGGGTGGTCTGTGGGAGAGAGGGTACAGATAGGGGAGGTCTAAATATGATTAAGATATATGAAATCTGCAAAAATTCAATTAAAAAATATACATTTAAAAATAAATCAAGGGGGGCTGGAGAGATGGCTCAGTGGTTAAGAGCACTGACTGCTCTTGCAGAGGACCCGGGTTTGACTCCCAGCATCCACATGGCGGCTACAAACCGTCCTTAACTCCAGTTCCAGGGGAATCTGAAGCCCTCTTCTCACCTCTGCTGCATTGCATGACACGGGTGCACTCACATACGTGCAGGCAATACACTCATACACATAAAATATAAAAATAAATAAAATATTAAAAAATAAAGGAAAGATTAGAAAGGAAGAAGTAGAAGGTATCTCTATTCACAGATAACATTATTTACATAGTCCTAAGCAGTCTACAGACAACTACTAGAACTAAAAAGAAAGTAAATTAGCAAGGTCACAGGATATGATTCATTATACAGAAATCACCTGAGGGCCCCAGGCATTGTGGTATAGGCCTGTAACGCTAGCACTCAGTATGCTAAGGCAGGAGGATTTCAAGTTTGAGGCCTTCCTAGACTACATAGTGACACCCTATCTCTGAAAAAAAAAACAAAAAAAAAACAAAAAAAAAAACACAATAAGCTCACTAGAACTTGACTCAGTCTCTTAAGTGCTTATCTGCTGAAAATTCTCTAATTCCAATTTGGGGCAACCAGAGAATTATGAGGCCTGAAAACTTTCAGGTGGTGGTCCACAACATGAGTTACTGGAATATAGGTCTTACTATATAGAATGAAGTGAATGACTCTTAGCTTCTGTTTCTAAAATTGCGTGGGGTATGGGGGAGTAAACAATGCCTGTCCCCCCCTCCCCGGTTTGGTTCCAACAACAAACCAAGGTACAATTTCCCCAAACTGCAGTCTAAGAAACCAGTGAGTTTATTGGGCTTACTTGCAGAGCAGAGGGTGAGGGTTTACTTACTAGAGGGTGATGTTCACCCCCTTAGGCCACACCAGAAAGTTTTCATCCAACCATGGATGGTGGCTTCCCTATAGTCACACAAAATGGTGGGAAGGTGCCTCCCTCTTCTCCAGACTACATACTCTAGCCCTTCCCAGGCAATGTGCAATTAGAGCCAAATTGTGACTGGACTCTCAGCTGTAATGATCTTAGGCAAGCAAGTGGACACAGCTGAGCTTGGGAAGATGGCATCTGTCTGTCAAAGGACACTTATATTCTTTCTGCTATCTTCTTCCACAAGAACTCCTGAGCTTTGACAGGGGTGACATAGATGTAGGACAATTTTCCTTCCATTGTGGCAAGATTTTGAGCCCTTGGGCCTTTTCATCATCTGTTTGCAGGATGTGGCAGACACTGACTGCAGTAATAATCGAATACATAAATGCTTGGAAGGCACCTTAGTAGGTGTATCATATTCATCTAACAAAATAATCACAGTGGCTTCCCCACTGGGACCTGTAACCTCCCTTGCCACTAGGGGTTCACCTGGCTTGCAGTACAAGATGTGTGTTCCTCCCTGAGGAGCTGACCTTAAATCCAATTGGAAATTTGTTGGTTGTACAGACACTAGTCATGCTACTATTGCACACAGGAACATCTTGCTTGGCATGTTGATAGCACAGCACATAGGGTCCATCATTAAAGCAGGACTGCTGGGAGCAGTTCTCTCCCAGCAATCTGCATAGTGTCTCCTGGCCCTAGGACTATCAGCCATCTGGCTGGCAGGGAGTTTCTAGCTTAGTGGTAGCTTGATTTCTCCCTTTCCCACACTCATATCAGCTCATATCATGCGGTATCTTCAGCAATAAGGTCTTAGTGTCTAGTTCTGGCATGCAACCAACATTAGTGGCAATGGCCTTTGTCGTTTTTGGGATCTCTGGGGCCCCCCTGGCCAGTAGCTCACAGGGGGACAACCCACCCCTGGCACTGGGATTTTCATTTAACGATTTCATAGTTTCTGGGAGCCTCTCCATATTATTTTCATAAGCTATCTCTATTTACTCTTTAGCATCTACAGGCCCAGGTGTTGTAGACTTTTCCCCAACCATCCTGTGTACCTTAACCAACCATAAAGCTCCCAGGAACTTCACAGCTATACCTGACCTTTATACCCTTTGTGAATCTATTTTCCATCCTTGTTTCTTCAGGTATAATTGAATCTCTCTCAAATGGGCTTCCATATCTGCAAAACACTCAGAGGCTACATTACGTCATCTATATAATGAAACCTGTTTCCAGAGGATGGGCAGGACAAAAGTGCAACGGTCCCAAACCATCATCCCGTAATGAATAGTGGAGTTACAAAGATAAACTGGTGAAGAGCTGAAAGCCCATTGTCCTCTGTTCTAAATAAGTGTCACGTGACTACAGAAATTTAAAACCAACAAGATACTAAGTCAAACAAAGTCTAAAGCAACATACAAAGATTTTGTCCATTTGTATCCGTTGTTTTCTCAGTAGATCCATGTTGGGTACAATAGCACAGATAAGAGACATTTAGTTAGCTCTTTATAGTCTTTAGTCATTTTCTTGGAGCCATTCCATTTCCGTATCCTTGCGCTCTTACATGAGGCCTGCCTATATTTCTCTATCCCTGGTAAACTATTTGGGGCTGACTCAAGCTGCTTAGTCTTGCATAGGGTCAAGGGAGAATTAGGCCTCACTTTCCCCTGCTATACCTGTTGGTTCCCTGGGTCTGATCAGCCCTGGGTCTGCCCCGTGGCTGTAGCCATCCATAGCTGTTGCCTCTCCATCCACTATAACTGGCTGCTGGGAGATGCCCTGGCTGGGCAAACTTTCTGTACCCCTAGCATAACCTTTAGCAGGAGGGAAATAGACCCAGCTTAGTCTAGGGGGATCATTACCCACCCCCTGGGATGGGTTTGGTTTTCTGCAGCTGTATTGTTTTGCCATGGATGCCTTCTGTGAACTGCTCCTCAGGCCTTAGCACCTTCCAGAAATTCCTTAGCACAGCATATGATTTCTTGCCCATTTTTTTCATAGGAACTCTGGCTGGACACAAATCTTGCCACATTTTTCCTTTATCTCTTTTAGGTTGCTCTACCATTTTATAGACACACTTTACACACTGGTCTAAGTCTGTCAAAGCCTTTCCTACTTCATGAAGATCCTGCTTCACTAAGGGACTCAGCAGAGCCACTAAAGCTCTGTTCTAGTTGCTTTCCATTGCTGTGACAAAACACTCTGACTAATACCAACTTGGGGAGGAAACGGTTTATTTGGCTTACACCTCCCAGGGAGCCCAAGGTAGGAACTCAGGGCAGGAACCTGGAGGCAGAAGCTGGAGCACAGGCCATGGAAGAATGCTGCTTACTGGCTTGCTCCCCTGGCCCATGCTCAGCTTGCTTTCTTATACAATACAGAACAACCTGCCCAGGGGTGGCACCACCTACAGTGTGCTGGGCCCTCCCACATCACTCAAAATATCAAGAGAATACCCCACAGACATGGCCACAGGCCAGTTCAGTGGAGGCAATTCCTCAGTTGAGGCTCCCTCTACCCAGGTGTGTCAAGTTGACAACTGAAGCTGTCCAGCACAAGCTCCATACCAATCTTGAGGTCACTGCTGAATCAAGTTCTTTAAATCTCTGGTGAATGCATTCCTATTTGGCTCAATGAACTGGGCATCATACATTGCTTCCTTATATGTAGTTCCCTCAATAAAGCCTGTCCCCCCTTTATTGTCCTCCAGCCTCTGTTAGCCATAGGATCCTCCTCTGGTAAGGACCAAGTCTCTAATGGCTCATTCAAGCCAGTCCATAAAGGACTGATTCCTCCATTACTGCTTCAGGTCATGCAGTCTCCTCAAGGAGGAGTTGTATCACTCAGCTTTTCTGCTTCTAGCACTTAAACTAATTCCATCTGCTCCCATGTCCTACAGCCTCACAAACCAGGTGGTGAGGGGCTCCTTCATTGCTTTAGAGAATAAGTATATTTGTAAGTTGAATTATACAATTTGAGAACTACACTATTTCTGGAAGAATTTTTAATTCCCCAAAAGCTAGGGATGTATCTCAATGGTAAGAGTGCTTGGCTACCATGCAAGGGGCCCTGGGTTCTATCCTTGCCATCACGAAAGAAAAAAATAATTTCCCTAATTTATCTATTGGGTTATAAAGGTTGACCTGAATTCCCATGAGAACCAAGGAATATTTTGTTTTTGCTTTTGTTTGAGACAGGGTCTCGTGTATCCCAGGGTGGCTTCAAACTCATGATATAGTTGATGATAACCTTGTACCCCTGATCCTCCTGCCTTCACCTCCAGGTACAGGGATTGTAGGCGTGCAATATCCAACTTTTCTTTCTTTTTTAAGACACAGTCTCTTGATATTACCAAGGTAGACCTCAAACCCTTGGATTCAAGTGATTCTCATGCCTGAGCCTCCTTAAATATCTGGGACTCCAGGCGTGCACCATAGCACCTTGTTGTATTTGATCACAGGAGAGCTATGTTGTCCAAACCTTTTTTGAGTGCTAAGAGACTTTGACCTTCTCCAGTTGTTACAAAGTTCTGTTTCTCAAAGAGCCTCATGATGGGTATAGTAGGGAGAAAAACTTTTACAAATTATTTTTATTTTTATGTGTATGTGTTTTGCCTGCATATATATAAAAGTACACCATGTGCATGAAATGCCCACAGAGGCCAGAAGAGGATGCTGGATCCCCTGGAACTGGAGTTACATCCTGTTGTTAGCTGCCATTTAGGTGTTGGGAACTGAACCCTGGTCCTCTGGAAAAATAGCTAGTGCTCTTAACCGCTAAGCCAACTCTCCAGTCCTGAGGAAAAATTTTTTGCCTTTTTGAGACAGAGTCTCCCTGTAGCCCCAGCTGATCTGGAACTCGCTATGTAGATCAGGCTGGCCTCAAACTCAAAAAGATCCCTGTGACTCTACCTCCCGAGTGCTGGGATTAAAGTCATGCCACTACACCCAGCGACTTTTAATGTTTATTATAAAGGAACTATGAGACAGGATGCAGCCCAGTGGAGCACCCTTGCATGTGTAAGGTCCTGGGCTTGATCCCATCGACTGCAAAATAAATAAAAATGTAAAAATACAATTCCTTTTCCTTGCCCAGTTATCTTGATTTGATTGTAATTTGTGTTGTAAAGATCAAGACAAGTATTCTTCTAGTAACACAGGAAGAAAACAAAGACTTTATTTTTCTGCCATCCACAACTTGACAATAAAAACTTATAACCAAGCTAATAATTTTATATAATTTGCATGGAAACACAAGAAGAAACACCAAGCACTTTGTGGACATAATTTTTATTAATATGGTATCCCTGGGAGGCAGATTAGGTGTAAACATTACTCTTTACAGGAAAAGCAAAAGCAGGTTAATACACACATAAGACATCTGGAACCAGAATTAATGTCTATTGATACTCCAATGCTTTTTCCACAAGACTACGCTGAAGATAATAATCTCACATCATTCTTTACATTGCAGCACACTTCCAAAGCCATTTCAGATCCTAAGGCACTATTATACACAGGTGTTCTTGTACCATCCTGCTTGTTTAGGCAACATATTGGAGAAACCATCTTCCCTTAATTGCTAACGAATGTTAGTCTTTGTATTAGGACCTCCTCAATACCAGAACTCTACTTAATCTCTAACATTGTAAGCCATGATTTATAGAATATTCTAAGCTCTTTACTACTCTCTCAGATCTTATTCCAGCCCCAGGGATCTAATTACATATGAATCTGAAAGTTATTCCAGGTCTTGGCCATCTGGCCATGTTCATCTTTGACCTGCTCAATGAAGTATCTTCAATAGATTAGTAATTTCTGATGTTTCTGTCCCAAAGGAGCTAGTTCTCTAAAACTGTTCATTTCCTCCCCAGAGCCAAGGTGCTGTCATCTGTAAGTGGAGTACCTTGTTTCCTGCAGGTGATGAGTGGACCACCGTATGGCCTACCTCCAGCACTGTGTTTCAGCTAAGTTGATTCTCTGTCTACTATATAGCCCATATCCTGCATTTATTAGGTTTTCCTGCTTCGAGCTTTATCTAAACCTTCCTTACATCTTTTGCCTTTTGCTCCCACATTTCTCCATTTCTGACCCACCAAGCATTCAATTTTGCAGCTATTTCTGAAAAGTGTGCCCCACCCTAATTTTTCTAGTTCCTTCCTTTGTATTTTCCAGAGTCTTCTCATAGCAAATGATGTTAAAATTTATACACAGTGTTACTGACTAGCTTTCTAAATTTCTCTGAAACTGTTAGAGCTATACACCTGTGCTTATCTGTCCATGTATCATCTGTTTTCAAGTGTAAGGACAAGGACAAGGCATTTAATTTGTGCTGTACAGGCTTATCAGAGTTCTATGAGCATGTGGGAATTAATTCAATAGCACTTGAACTATAAAGATCAGTAATCTGAAAGTGATGCTTTTAATTGTATACAGCAGTTTGTGTAGATTGGCAGCTCCTCTGACCAAACATGGTCCGTGTCATTACAGTGAAGATTCTTGACACAGAGAGGTCTATTTGATCCATACATGGCAGTTCTCATTGTAGGTTAGTATCGAGCATCCATGGGATCCATAACAGTCTACCAGGTGTTTGAAGTGGGGGAGAAATAGCTATCTGATTCCTATTGGCGACTTTGACTGTTTTCTCTATCATCACATCCATCTAATTTGCTATTATGGCTTCTAGTCCACAGGGACAGATGAAACTCAAATGAAAAAAAAACAAACTAGATACCCTAAATGCTGTATATTCTATCCCTTAGATTGGTCCCTTATACAGAGCACCTGACTTCTGGTGATGGTGGGGAGATGGGTGTTACTTGGGACTTACTTTGTGCATATTACACTAGTGTGTTACCACTGAGCTACATTCCCAGTCCTAAAACACCCAATTCTTGGAGATGATTCACAGAGCTAAACCAAGATAGACATTCAATTCTCCTTCAAGAGCATGGGTTTAAGTGTGCAGGAAGAACCACTTAATGAACAAAGTCTACAACTTCTCCTGGAAATACTATTGAGATGGGTTTTTCCAACTGCAATGCAGCTGAAAACAGGGTGAGTAAAGGATATGTATCAAATTCATAGGATGGGTGCCAGAGGCAGGCAGATCTCTGTGAGCTCAAGGCCAACCTGGTCTACATAGTTCTAGGCCAGCTGGGGGCTACAGGGAGACCCTGTCTCAAAAAGACAAAAAAAAAAAAATTCATAGTATATACTACCATATCCTCTCTAAGGGAACAACATAGGCACTGAGAGGGAAAAGCTTTTACTGTCAGGTCAGCTATATGCAAGGAGAGGGACCAAAATCTTCCTTGCATTCTTTTTTCTTCTTCAACATTTTTTAAATTTATTTTACTTTATGTGTACGGTGTTTTGCCTGCATGTATGTAACTGTATCACATGCATGCAGTGCCCATGGAGGCCAGAAGAGAGCATAAGAGCCCCTAGAATTGGAGTTACGAACAGTTGTTAGCCACCATGTGGGTGCTGGGAACCAAGCCCAGGTCCTCTGTAAGAACAGCCAGTGCTCTCAAGCACTGAGCTGTCTCTCCAGCCCCCCTTCCTTTCATTCTCAAAAGAAATGACATTGGACACATCTAGATCCAGGAAAGGAGTGCTTCCTAAGCCAGTTAGGCACAGAAACAGAGACGTTCACTATTGGAAGACTTTATTGAGGCCCTTCCTCAGGAGCTTACTTAGGCACTGACCATGACAGAAGCTTTTCTCGGGTATGGATTTCTTGGTGTTTATTAAGGGCAGAGCTTTTACTGAAGCACTTGCCACAATCATGACACCCATAAGATTTCTCTCCTGTGTGGGTTCTGTGATGTGCACGCAAGTCAGAACTCTTACTGAAACTCTTACCACAGTCAGGACACACATGGGGTCTCTCTCCTGTGTGTATCCTTCGATGTGAACTGAAATGAGAACTATTATTAAAGCTTTTTTCACATTCTTCACATTGATAAGGCTTTTCTCCAGTGTGGGTTCTCTGGTGAATTATAAGGCTTGAGCTCTGATTAAAGCGTTTTCCACATTTACCACATTGATAAGGTTTTTCTCCTGTGTGGATTCTCCGATGGGTAATGAAATTAGAACTGTCATGGAAACTTTTCCCACAGTCAAGACATTTACAAGGTTTTTCTCCACTGTGGATTCTTCGGTGTGATAAGGCGGGCACTCCGACTGAAGCTTTTCCCAAAGTCAGCACATTTATATGGATTTTCTACCTGATGGGATACCTGATGCATGAGATGAGAGTTTGCACCAAAGCTTTTGCCATATCTGAGATATTTATAGGCTCTCTCTCCCAAGCCTGATCTTTAATGAATTAGGACTTTACCTAAACTCTTCTGTGGGAGTGTCAGTTTTCCTTTTTTCTCTCTTTAAGCCTTTTCCCACTTTCTGGCCTGAATTCATTCTCACTGGCTTTATATTGATTAACATGTCGACAGAGAATTTTCCTTTCAGACCTGGCTAGTAATGTCCTATGCAGTTGTACTTCCTCAGAAATACCTCATTTTGGATTCTCTTCATTGTCAAACATAGACTCAAAATCTAATACAAGAAAATAAAAGTTATCCATTTCCTTAACTACATGTGTAATTAAACAAACTTGTACAGCAAACTTGGGAGAAACAAGTATTGCATTAAATGACTACAGATCAAAGGTCAAGGAGCTCAACATTTGAAGTCACAGGATCATTCTATTTTTTCAAAAAAATAAAAAAATAAAACTGGCAAGACAGCTCAGCAGGTAAAAGCACTTGCTTCTAAGCCTGATGACCTGAGTTCCATCCCTGAACATGGTGGAGGGAGAACCAACTCCATGAGTTGTCCTCTGACCTCCCCACAAGCACCAGGGCACATGTATGCACAAATTAAGTAAACAAACTTCTTGTAATTAGAGCTCTTGACCTCAAATTACTATTATATTTGAATCATTAAAATTCTAGTGTTTTATTTCCCTACTTAGGACCTGTCACATGCCTTTCATCTACATAATCTACATAGGAACTAGTTTTCAACCCTTTCTGAATACCCAGGATCTTCAGAAGAAATTCTCAGAACAGCAAGAAAAACTCACCAGGTTTTAAAGAAGACTATCTTGAGCTGGGGTATGGTGGTGCATGCCTTTAATCCCAGTCCTTGGGAGGCAGAAACAGGACTTCTGTGAGTTTGAGGGCCAGTCTGGTCTACATAATGAGTTCCAGGCCAGCTGGAGCTACAGGGAGACCCTGTCTCAAAAAGACAAAAAAATAAAAAATAAAGAAGACTATATTTATAGGACAGATACTTTCTGTACTGTAGTTCTGCCACATCTTTGGCCTATCATAGTATTCTTGTTTGTTGCCAGTAACTAAGAGTATTAAAAGAAGTTGCCTAGGAACACTTCTTGGAAGCTTCTTCTATATCCAGAAATAGTTTTCATAAGTCCCCTTCTCCTCAAATTTCAACATATGGTAGAAACAAAAAATATTTACCATCTTTTAAAGAACAAAGGCTTTTTTAGAGAAAAACTTTGCTGGAAAGTGTCTCTCCAAAACATTTTCTTTGCTTGTGTAAAAAGTAATCACTAAATGTTGAAAAACATACACTGTAATTTAGCCTAATTGCTCTGCTAAGGCAACTTTTTAATAGTCTAAGAAGCAAATGTCAGGCCTACTTCTTTGGGTCTAGGCTATGAGAATTTGTACTCATTCAGATGTTTCAGGTTAACTTTGGATCCTGAACTCCCTGGCCTTAAACCTAAGAACAAAAGAACACTGTCAGCCTGCATATGGACTCCCTGAAGCCTACTCTTGTGAGATAACCCACAAAATAGACTCACCGAATTGACTGAAACCTTAGAACCCTAAATATGCAAATGTGTATTGTGAGCCTCCAAGAGGGTTACTTAGCATTTCCCAAACCTAAAATTTTTTTTTTTTTTTTTTTTTTTTTTTTTTTAGTAAAACATTGGTATTTGGTGGAACATCCTTAAAAAATGCTAATCTAAAATACTTAATGGAAGTGAAAAGTATGTACCCAACACTGTGGTAGGTACTTCACACAGTATCTGATTAACATCAACCCTGGCTATGCAGCAAGTCCAAGGCCAAACTCAGCTACATGAGACCTTGTCTCAAAAAAGCAAAAAAATACAAATCAAAGAAGCTTCCCACTGGGGCTCTGGAATAAGACTGGGGCATGGGTTAGAACAGTCCCTGGAGGTATCTCAGGATCATCATCATCAGAATCTTCTCCTATGGCCTCTCCTGTGTCCTCAGCTTGCTTCTCAGCCTTAGCCTCACTGGGTCCCTGGAGAGAGCAAGAAGCTGTTTCCTTTCCCTGGTCATCACTAGATGGAGCAGCTACCCGGGCACCCACCAAAGTATCCATTTCCCTCAAAGAAGGGGCAAGTCTCTGGTGCTTGGCCATTCTTGACTTTCCCGTAGCTGATTTGTAGGCTTTTAAATTTGGTCTGACACTGCTCTGGGGTCCTAAGGAAGCCATATTCCCATAATCTCTCAGCAGCTGCTCCATATAACTGGCTATTGTTGGTGACATTTCCGGAGGGCTTCATAAAACTGAGTGTCACCAAGAACTGCAAGGTATGTCTTGGTTTCTTCATAGCCCCAGTGTACTCCTGTCAGAAGAGAGATTTGAGCATCACTTAATCCAATGCTTTAGAGCCTCAGCTCGTCAGTCTTACCACCTGCTTCAAAGAAAATCACTAAAGCTGGAGGTATTCACTCAGGGTGTACTAAGCATGCATGTGGGCTTGGAGTCTATTTGAGAGAAAAAGGAGGAGAAAGGAAAGAAGGAGGCAGGCAGAGAGGAAGGGAGGTCACCTAAGCTCAGGTTCCTACTTTTAAAAGGTTTTACTTCATGTTCCCCAAATCTACATACTCAAATTTTTGTTTGTTTCTCTGTATCCTTTAACAATTTCAGAGAACTTAATAAATTTTAGCCATTAAAAGAAGCCTTTCCAGTCGGGCATGGTGGCGCATGCCTTTAATCCTAGCACTTGGGAGGCAGAAGTGACCGATCTCTATGAGTTTGAGGCCAGCCTGGTCTACATTAGAGAGTTCCAGGCCAGTTGAGGCTACAGGGAGACCCTATCTCAAGAAGACCAAAAATAAAAATTTTAAAAAAGGAGCCTTTCTATATGCTCACTGGAGCATTATTGTGTACTATGAAGGGTCATCTGCACCGTCAACTTCACCTTCAACTTCACTAGACACTGGGCATGTCTAGTTCCAGAAGGGTTTGGGTTTTTTGTTTGTTTTCAATACATGGTCTCCCTGTAGCCCCAGATGGCCTGGAACTCACTATGTCGACCAGGCTGGCCTCGATTTCAGAGATCCACCTGCTTCTCCCAAGTGCTGAGACTAAAGGTATATGGCACCATGCCCAACTTTCAGGAAGTTTTAGCTAAGGGAAGACCCACCCTGAATGTAGGTGGCACCATCCCATGGGCTGAGGTTCCATATGAAATAAAAAGGTAAAAAGGAGAAGGCAGGCTGAGCACCAGCATGCATCTCTCTGATTTCTGATGCATCATGGCAGCTGCTTCATGCTCCTGCTACCACAGCTAGAGCAGCTCTCACCTCCACACCTTCCCTGACATAATGGACAGTGTGCTCAAACTGTGCATCAAAATAAACCCTTCCATTGCTTTTGTCATGTATTTTGTCATAGCAATGACAAAAGTAGCCAGTACAGATACACTGAGATAAATGCACAGAATGCATTTCTCTATCCATTTAGTATTTCTGGAATTCTGATCCTAACTAGAAAAAAACACACTGGTCAGGAAAAGATGACCCAGGATTGCTGTCAGCTACAATGAGACATTCCTAACTTTGCTGCTAATTTTCCACCAGCCCTATTTCCTTTCCATAGAGTGACTTAAAACTCCAAGAACTGCCTCTTTCAGAATCGTACTGCTGCCAAATCCTTATTATGGTCTGTCTTCATTTGGCACTGTTTCCTTAAGCAAGCCCAACAAGAACAAAGACTTGAAGGGTACAGGAGAAGGTGCTTACAGTCATGCACTTTATTCACAGGGTGGAGAACTGGAAGAAGCCAGAATGAGGAAAGAAGCAGGAACAAAATGTCTTGGCTGGATACATGTACTACAGATGTGTACTTGAGCAGTGTTTTTAGGAAAGTAACAGCAGGATGATTATATAGACTGCTCCCTGAAGGTACCCAAGGTAGAGAAAAAGGGAGTTTCAGACAGTCTTCATCTCATCTGAGAGCCACTTCCATTATCTTCCACTTACTGGGTGTAAAGGAGAGCAGGGAAGAAGAGGGCGGGACAGAAAAAGATGAATAAAGATAGTGGAAAACATTTTGCACAAGTCACATAATTTATCCACAGTCATGTCATTGACAAAGATGGAAAAGGAATGAAGAAAAGTAATAAAATGCCACATTTTTTCTCAGCCTGCAATGATTTATAAGCAGGAAAATGTATTTCAATAAAAAAGATAATCCTCTGAAGACACTTGGATTTTCTGGGTGAATTTCTTTCAGAAATCTAAATCTGAAGTTTGGGATGTAGCTCAATGGTACAGTGCTTGCCTAGCATGTGTGAGGCCCTGGGTTCAATCCCAGCACTAAGAAATAGGAAAACAAATCTAGTTCTTACTATTACCTCATAATTTGCTCACCGAAGGCAACAGAATACATGCAGAATAGTACCTTTGCTCTCTACTTAAGTGGCCAAGCTGGCAGCTGACAATGGCTGGCTCCACATTCAGTTTCACTGTTCCTCAAGCGTAATCTAAAAATCCCAAGAAAAGCTGCTTACCACTTGGGCTCCGGAACAGGACAGATGCAGTTGAGTTGTCAGGGTCCTGGGAAGTTGCCTCCAGGTCCATTTCATCATTGTCAGACTCCTCAGTCATAGCCTCTTCTCCCGCCACATGCTGCCAGGCCCCCTGGACTGGCCCCTCGGTCTCAGTATCACTGTCTGCCTGGCCCAAATGAGAGACTGCCTCTTCCAGACCATTGCAGGGCAGTGCAATGACCTGGGCACTCATCAGGGCTTCCATCTCGTCAAAGAAGGGGTAGGTGTCAGGTGGATGACCACTCTTGACTTTCCTGTAGCTCTTCTGAAGACCTTTGAACTTGGTTCGGCATTGTTCCAGTGTCCGGAGGAAGCCATACTCATGGAGCCACTCAGCTACAGCCCCACACACCTGGCTGTTTCTATGACAGTTCTGGAGAGCCTCATAAAATTCAGTCTGACTGAGAATTGCGAGGAGAGTTCTAGTTTCTTCATGGCCCCAGTGCATACCCACCACCTTCTCAATCAAAGCCCCAGTGATCCTGTTCCGCCCAGCTTCTCTCTCTCTTGGATGGTAATGGATCAGCACAAACTTGTCTGACTTCTATGCTATTGCTTTTTGAGACTTCCTTCTCTTTGGAACCCAGCTGATCTGGAATCCATGGTTTTCTCTGCTCCAACCTGGAGACCACATTGGATTTAGGAAATTGAAATCCTGCTTGCAGGGAAGCAAACAAAAAAGATCACAATTTGGATTGATTATTCAAAAACAAAAACTTTCAATCTAGCCTTGCCTCTTTCATCCAAGAGATTATATCTTTTGTTTTGTGACAGGGTCTCATGTGGTCCAGTCTAGCCTGAATATGGCTATGAGGATGACCTTGAACTGCTGATTCTCCTGCCTCTACCCTCTGAGCGCTGGGATTACAGGTTTGTAACACCATACCCAATTATATGGAGTGGTACGAATGAAACCCAGGGCCTCTACCAACTAAGGGTAGTACCCAGTATACTCTACCAACTAAGCTGCATCCCCAGACCCCACTCTAAAAGTTTATGAAGTTAGTATCTCAAGAAATATTTTCAGAAAGTTCATTGGGTTGAAGAATGGAAAAAATATAGGAAACCACAAAGGTTGAGAAATAATTGTCCAGCGCAGGGTAACAAAAGAAGAAAAGGTTCTGTTATGTGTTTGGAGCATTCCAAATTGCTCCCTAACCCTCCAGACCACTCGACTACAGTGGCAGCACTGCTGGGGTGGCCATTCCTGTCTCCCATACTTTTCACTTGGGGTCTGAGAATTCAACTCAGGGATTTCAGGAGGTAAGGGAAAGGAAAGGTGCCTGACTTCATACTCAGTCTGTTTCCCCTGGCACACTTTGCTCTCCTATAACCACCATCCAAGTCTAGACCCTTAACTCTCATATCCAAATTAACTACAGCAGTCACTGTCCTACTACAGCCTTTTTGCTTCCTCAGCTCACATGCTATCCTGCTGAACCTTAACCTTAATGTCTAGCATGCAGTCCATTCCTGCTTTCTCCAGAACACAGAGCACTTTTATTCCCCTCTGTGCCTTTAACTCCCTTCCTCCTATCCAAATTCAGTCCATCTTTGGAGAGGCCCACTTACCAGTGCTCTCAGGAGGCCATTCCCTACAACCCTGTCTTCATGTCCACACTGCCAAACCTCTATAGAACAACTGAATAAGTCATTACTTACCACTGTTTCAGTACAGTTGAGTTCACATATTTATGATTTACTGTTCAGTTATCAAATCATATTGTAAGCTCTTTAAGGACAAGTACATAAAAAATTTATTGTAGGTGTGTATGATGTATGTGTGGGTGCATGTGCTACAGTGTGTGTGGGGAGTTCATAGGATAACTATGTGGAGTTGGTTCTGTCCTCTACAAGGGTTCTAGGGCTTGAACTCATGTTACCAGGCTTGTGTGGCAAGCCCCCTTACCTGCTGAGCCATCTATCTCATTGGCTAACACTGGCACCTTTTCTTACTGCAGTGTATATAGCTGCAAAGTATTGAGGTAGGTATTTGAACAGATTAGTTCCACAAGTCAGTGGGATTTTGAGGGATTTTGGCTGGATGTTAGTACAAAACAGAGACCATTATCAAAATAGCCAAGAAGTCTATTAGTGTCATCTTAAATGATAAGATCATCCCATAATTCAGAACACCCTCAACAAAATTTAAATAATAAACACACTAATGGAGTCCAGTAAAGCACAAAGAAGAAAAACAAGTTCTACAAAATGAGTGCAAGAATAAGTGACTATGTAAAAGGCATGGGAAAGATAAGAGTCTTGGGGGTTACCAGATGAACAAAAATCACAGAATCATAAGTTGTACTATACTGAAAGATGTTGCAAAATTCTAAAGTAAAATTCTTAGCCTTTACATAATGGACCTTCATTGAATAAGACATACAATTTAGTTCTCCACAATTAACATTCTAACATAGAAAATAACAAGGCTTCTTAGGTCTAAAGAATGGAGATAATGGGGGGGGATTAAACAGTTTATAATCTAGAGAAGAAAAGCAATTAAAAATATCTTCCATTGTATAACTGTAATAATTCAACTGTAAACCTAAAAATTTACAGCCAAATTTGAAAGAGATGCATCCTACCTCAGGAAAACGTTATTGAATATGTCAATTGTGTTGTAATGATATGCTTCTTCTAAGTATGTTGTTATTAAATAAATCATTTAAAAAAAAAATTAGAATGTGGTGGGCATGGTGGCACATGCCTTTAATCCCAGTACTTGGGAGGCAGAGGCAGATAGATCTCTGTGAGTTCAAGGCCAGGCTGGTCTACACAGCCAGTTTGAAAGTTCTAGGCCAGCTGGGACTATGAAAGAGGATGAATAACCAGTTTAGATTGCTTTGGTGTACTGGAAGTATTTCAGAATTTATTCTTGTCAGTAAGTATAGTTTAAAGGCTTTAGACAAAAGTTTGGTGATGTGATCCATTTGCGACCCAAAGGGATCTTTTAAAAATAAGTTTTAAAATATTTTTCTTTTTCTTTTTCTTGTTAATTTTATGCAAAAAAAAATGAAAAAAAAAATCTTCCAGTATAGAAAAGAATTCTACCTAGAAAACAATGACCTATCACCAAGAAATAAAACAGTTCCAATTCTCATAAAAACTAGGCAGATATTCTCTGTATCAGAGGCTTAAACTACCTGTCTTCAGAAGGTCCCAACAGGCACATACTGCACAATTTCCATGTACTTCTGAAATCCCCTTCCTACTCATTCTTTCCAACCATATTTCCTAACATAGAAGGGCACTCTGTCTTCCCACATGATTCTACTCCTCACCGCTCCTTTGAAAAGGTCTGAGTTTCTCCTTTGGGTTCATCTGCTCCTGTAGTCCCAGGGCTGAGATTCTTGCCCTCTCTTTCTTGGATACACCCCTGGGCTGAGGTTCCACTGACTTTTGCAGAATACTTAATAATTCCTGTGATGATTTCAGGGGTGTCATCTTCTCCGAGTGCATTTCCTGCCCCTTCACAGAGACTATGACCTAGAAGCACCCCCCCCCATTAATTGTCATGGTCATAACAAGAGGTATTCCCAGAGAAGCTCATTTACTATCTGCAGAGACCATCCTTCTGGGGCAAGGTCGGAGTTGTAGGGGTGGGGAGGTTATGGCAAATGGGTTTTATTTCATTATCATTATCTTAGAATGGCTGGAACTCCAGAAAGATCAAAATGAAACCCAACTGCCAGAAAATTTCCCATTATCTATTAAGAAACAGTGAATTGGGGACTGGAGTAATGGCTCAGCTCTTGCAGAAGACCTGGGTTAGGTTCCCAGGGCACATGTGGCAGCTAACAACTGTCCGTAACTCCAATTTCAGAGAATTTAATGCCCTCTTCTGGCTCCCCTGGGCACTGCACACGTGTGGTGCACTTACATACATGCACGCAAAACACATAAAAAAATAAACTTCAAAGTGAAAGACTTATTGTGACAGAGTAGGCAAAGGTACACCCAGGTGGCATTTCCAGACCAGTGCTGTTTTAAGTGACCTCTTCCAGACCAAAGTATAAGCACTGCCAAACCTCTGTAAGCCTGCTTAAACCCCTTAAACTGTACTTCTATCCTTTCCTCTTCCCTGTCACACATGTCTCAACTCCCCTCCCCTCTCACCGAATGTCCAGGTCTTCCAGGCTCTCTTTCTAAATCTTCTACCAGAGTCACTGCCTCTTCTCCATTTTCTGGACATTGTTCCTGTACCCAATTCTGGATCTCCCCAGGTAGAACAGTCAGAAACTGCTCCAACACCAACAATTCTACATTCTGCTCCTTGGTGCGCACCTCCGGCCTTAGCCACCGACAGCAAAGTTCCCAGAGTGGGCTGAAAGCCTCCCGGGGCCCAGCCACCTCCTGGTAATGGAATCTCCTGAAGAGCTGCTGTAAGGTTTCAGAGTTAGCGTCATTTCCTCTCAGAGTGGGTTTGGCCATCCTTCACCGCAGAAAGCAGCTTTCCTCCTCTTAAAAGGGTCTGGGTTCCAAGGCTTACACTGTCTTCTCATGTTGCTGGAGAATCACCTCCAGATGAGCCTCTCGGCGAAAGGGGTTTCTTCCTCGAGCAGAGAGAAATGGCACTACCAGAACATCTTCCTATGTCTAATCTTGCCAGGGTTGGCCTGACTTCTCTAATGCTCCAAGCGGCCATCTGAGGTAATAACCGCTTCAGGGAAGAAAGCCGACAGTGACCTTTCAGAAGCTGCATTTCTGGGCGTTTCTAGAGCATCACGGTCTGCTCACCCATCTCCCCTAAATCTGATCTCATCTGGCTTCCCAGATCAACGCTGTACGGTGAATTCAAACCGCATAGGAAACCTGAAGCTGGAAAGATTCTAAAGATCAGTCACCATCTTGCTGAAGACAAGCCTCTGTCCAGCAGGTCGCGGCTGAGCTCCCGCAGAACCTCTGTGGTCCTTCCGTACCCCTCCCATTAAACTCCAAAGTCAAGTGCTGAATACTGGATTTTGTTTTCTCCTCAGACCAAGTAATCACTCTGTAATGGTTGAAGAGCTACAGATGGGAAAGGTCGTGCACTGGGGAAACTGACTTGGGCTTCTAAACTGAGGACTTGGGGAAGTCACAGAGACTTAGTAGTCCGAGGTGCGGCAGTCTGGTCTCCTAGGCACAGGTCGGTACTACCCGGTGCTGACCAGTGCTGTGGGTTCGTGGGCTCGGAGCGCTGCTCCACAGCGGCGGGGCAGAGTTCCGGCCTCTGTCTCCGTTCTCTCCCGCCGGGTCACTCTGGAGGACGTCGTGAAGCCCTCCAGAGGCCTGGGACCTGCGATGGCGCCCGAGGAACACCCTCCGGTCCAATCCCTGGCCGCGTCTCTCTCGAGCTGTCCCTCAGCCCATTCACATCCCTGTCGCCGGACCAGCCTCACCCACTCAGGTCCAGCCCAGCCCTGGCTCACCCAGCAGCCCTGTGCAGCGCTTGCCGGAAGTCTGAGCGGCCCCTGGGGCACCGAAGGCGCATGCGCGAGGGCACCGCCGGCGCCTCTACCGCAGCAACTGGACGGGAGCGAGCGGGTGGGCGTCGCCAGCCAAGCACACTTCCGGGATGCGGCGCACGGATGCTGCGCGCGTGTGCAAGGCAGAGCACTGCCCCTGTGGGCGCCTGCAGGGGCGCTGAGGGGTGATAGGCTTAAGTACACCGAAGGAATGATTCACGAACTGCTCTTGGCCCTAAGCGGGTACCCAGGGTCCATTTTCACCTGGAACAAGCGCAGTGGCCTGCAGGTACGGAGGGCCTTAGACCACCCGAGTGCAATGGGTACAACTGAGCCTGGGCCTGGGGACGCCAGCTACCGGGGGCGGAGCTCGCAGGGCGGGGGCGGGGCCCAGGGCACGTGACTGTAGGACCGGGCGATTGATAACTGACCTGGCCTGGCAAGCCCTGGGAAACCTTTGTTTCCTAGGGCCTTTGAGGACCTAGGGTCCTGGGAGGGCTTCCTGGGAGCAGGTAAAAAGCAAGCTGGGCACTTGTTCCTGTCTGGTTCAAACTGAGTTTTGAAGGCTGATACAAATACACAGAATTCACGACGCTCAGAACAGCAAATTTTGTTGCATGAAAAAATGAATTTCTGAGCGTATGCTTTCCTACTTTCTTAAACTGCTGACCAGGTGAAGAACCTGAAAGAGGTCTTCCTGTCACCATAAAAGTGTAAGGGGGGGAGACTGAGTAATATAGTGCAGTATGCATTAATTCCTCTAAAGTCACAACAACCAGTAACCATTTTACAGATTAACATAGGTTCAGAAAGTTAACTCCCAGGTAATTAAATACCTAGTAATTAGCAAAGCTTAGTCTTGAACTGAGGTCTGTTTGGCTCCACTAACTGAACAGTTATAATCTGCCTCCAGATGTTCTCAGCAGTGACTTAGTAACTTAAGTATTGTTAGTCCCAGTTTACAAATACACAAGACTAAAGCTCAGAAAACTTTATGTTGACTAGTCTTGGCAGTCCTAGATAGGAATTAACATCTATCTAATTACAAAGTCCGGTCTGATCCTAGGAGAAATGGCAGTATAGGCCTTGACGCGCAGAAAAATTACATGCTTAGTCTGTAAAACCTATAAATCAGACAGATTTCTCATGTTTTTTTACCAATGTGAATTGGTTTTTTAAGTTTAGGTGAGTTTTTAAATTTTGTTTTTTGGATGTATATCTTTTTTCAATTTTTTAATTTTTATTTTTTTAAAATATTTTATTATTTTTATTTTATGTGTATGAGTGTATTGCCTGCACATAAGTGAGTGCACCAGTGTCCTGCAATGCCGTGGAGGTCAGAAGAGGGCTTCGGATTCCCCTGGAACTGGAGTTAAGGACCGTTCGTAGCCACCATGTGGGTGCTGGGAATCAAACCCAGGTCCTCTGGCAATCAGCGCACTTAACTGCTGAGCTGTCTCTCCAGCCCCTTATTATTTTTATTTTATGTGCATGAGTGTATTGCCTGCATGTATGTGAGTGCACCCGTGTTGTGCAATGCTGTGAAGGTCAGAAGAGGGCTTCAGATTCCCCTGGAACTAGAGTTAAGGACGGTTCATAGCCGCCATGTGGGTCCTCTGCAAGAGCAGTCAGTGCTCTTAACTGATGAGCCATCTCTCCAGCCCTGGATATTGCTCTTTTTTAAAAAATATTTTATTATTTTTATTTAACATGTATATAGCCTGTTTGTGTATAAGTACATCGGTGTCATGCAATGTCCTCAGAGCTCAGAAGATGGCATTTTAACTCCAGTTCCAGGGGATCTGACCCTCTTCTGACCTCCGAGGGCATTGCATGACATAGGTGCACTTACATACATGCAGGCAATATATTCGTACACATAAAAATAATAAAGTAGTTTAAAATTTTTTATCATTTATTTGTGTGTGTGTACACATGCATGCCATTGTGCGCATATGCCACAAAATAAATGTAATTTTTTTAAAGAAGAAAAAAGTTGCCAGGCGTGGTGCCTGTAGTCCCAGCACTTGGGAGGCAGAGGCAGGTGGATCTCTGTGAGTTCAAGGCCAGCCTGGTCTACATAGTGAGTTCCAGGACAGCTCGGGCTACAGGGAGACCCTGTCTCAAAAAGACCAAAAAAAAAAAAAAAAGAAAGAAAGAAAGGAAGGAAGGAAGGAAAGTGAAAGAAAGAAAGAAAGAAAGAAAGAAAGAAAGAAAGAAAGAAAGCTGAGGTGTGGCCCAGTGGTAGAATGCTTGTTTAACATGTGCCAGGCCTTGGACCTGATCTCTAGTGCTAGAAAAAGGAAAACAAGCAAACAGCACCCAAGTGGTTAAAATGGTAGTGGTTTTTGTTTGTTTGTTTGTTTTGTTTTTGTTTTTTTGGGTTTTTTTTTTTTTTTTTTTTTGTCTTTTTAGATAGGGTTTCCCTGTAGCCCCAGCAGGCCTGGAACTCACTATGTAGAGCAGGCTGGCCTCGAACTCACAGAGATGCACCTGCTGTGCTGGGATTAAAGGCATGCACCACCGCACCCAGCTAAAAATGGTAGATTTTATGTCATGTATTTTTACCACATTTTTTTCTGAGCTAGGATCTCATTATGTAGAATAGCCTTGAACTCAGTCACTCTGTAGCTCAGGCTGGCCTCCATCTTGCAATCCATCCCTGCCTCAGCCTTCTGAATCTTGGGATTACAGGTGTGCATCACCATGCCTGGCTTACCACAACTCTTCCTTTTTTAAGTTGATTGAACAAATACATTCTTCCATTACTTTTTTCAATTTGAACTTCTATAAAACTGTTATATATCACATTAGGCTATCATGCAAGCTAGTTGTGGTGATACATGCCTATGCTCTCTCATTTGAGAGGCCAAGGCAGGATCTGGAGTTCAGTAATAGCCTGAGTAGTCACTGCCTCTGGAGAGGTTGACTAATTTTTAATGTATGCCTGTAGCCCCAACTGGTCTGGAACTTAACTATGTAGACCAGGCTGGCCTTGATCTTACAGAGATCCACCTGCCTCTGTGTCCTGAGTGCTAGGATTAAAGGCATGCATCACCACATCTGGTGAATTCTTTCTTTTTTTTTTTTTTAACATTTCTTTATTCACTTTGTGTGTGCACATGTATGCAAAGGCAAGGCTACTTGCCACAGTGTGCATGTAGAGGTCAGTGGACACCTTTAGGAGTCGTTCTCACCTCTACCATGTGATTCCCAGGGATCCAGCTCAGGTCGTCAGTCTTGACAGCAAGCATCTTTACCTGCTGAGCTATCTCACCAACCCCTATTGCGTGAATTCTTTACCTTAAGTTGCCTATTTTATAAACAAGTAATTAGATCCTGATAAGGAACACTGCCTTTGTAGTGGTTTAGACATACCTTGTTACAGAATTTACCAACCTTGAGTGGGCAACTTAAAGAGAGAAAAAGGAAGATAAGAAGGAATAGAGAATATAAAGCATTTTAAGTGCCCCAAAGAACATGGGGTGGTGAGTGGCAGGCATGAGCTTTATAACTATCTCTCTTCTTGCAGGTTTCCCAGGACCTCCCGTTTCTCCACCCCAGTGAGACCAGTGTCCTGAACCGACTCTGCCGGCTTGGCACAGACTACATTCGCTTCACTGAGTTCATTGAACAGTATACAGGCCATGTGCAACAACAGGTGGGATCCTGTTCTGGATGTATGCTTCTAAGAGGGCAGGGGTACTATTTGGCTTTTAGCAAATTCATTGATGAAATAAGTTAGGAATTTCTGGAAATATTCCTGAATTTATGAATCAGTGGAAATACTCAACTGAAGGCAAGGTTTCTAATTGGCTTTTTTCCTAATGTAACAACAACAAACTCCTCTCATGTGGTGGAGATGCCATAAATCAGTGGTGCCTGAACAGAGACAGCTGACTCTTCGAGTTACTTAAAACATGATCTGTTCTCAGAACTTGTTCCTTCTGAGTTCTCTTGGAACTCCTCTAAGCAAAAGACTTCTATTTATTGAAACAGTACATCCAGCATGATATGGGACACAGAACACACAACTACAAACATGTTGTCAATCTAATCCCACCTGTTGTCAACATAAAGGGGGTTTAACTCCTTGCTTTCTTTCACATCTGGGTGAGGGCAAGTGAAAGGTCAAGGATTAAAGTAGTATGTTTAGCTCACAAGAGGAAACCAAAGCCAAGTTGGATTGTTTATATTGTAAATAAGATGAGATAGTATTAAATTATCTCAAAATAGAAGATTAACATTGGTTTATAAGGTTAGGTAAGATTCTCATTTGTAACAGAAGGTATTCCCAGGAAAGTCATTCCTACATATTCATGTGTCTTATGTGGGGGTGTTGTTGTTTAGGTGTTTTGTTTTTGACAGTGTCTCACTGAGTTATCCCAATTGGCCTGGATCTCGCTGTGTAGACCAGGCAGGCCTAGAACTCAAAGTGGTCCACTTCTGTCTCCCTAGTGCTTGGATTAAATGTGTGTGCCACCACATACACTTCTTATGTGGATTTTATCTTCCATGATATGAGGATTCCTCTAACTTTCCCACCCTCAGAGCCTTGTCACCCAGATGAGTACATAGCCAGAGAGGCTGGTCGTCTTATCATAACCTCTAGCCAACTGTTAATCATCATTCCTCATATAACCATATGAGAAGATCCTACAAAAAACTCATGAGAAGATCCTACAAATAACTAGATTCCTGGAAGACAAGCCTTATATAACCCTTTGATGAGAGTCTCATACCCATGTTGGCTGTCAGACCCATGTTCTTGACAAGCCAGGCAGAAGATGGGATATTAAAATGAGAATTGAGCTGGGCAGTGACATACACCTTTAATCCCAGCACTCAGGAGGCAGAGGCAGGCAGATCTCTGAGAGAAGGAGAACAGCTGGTCTACAGAGTGAGTTCCAGAGACTCTGTACCAAAAAAAAAAAAAAAAAAAAAAAAAAAAAAAAAAAAAAAAATCCCAAACTAAACAAAAAAAAAAATAAAGATGAGGATTGAGCCAATTTTTTCTAGTCAGTAAATACTTACCCTCTGTTCAAAGAACTATGCCAGTAGCCAAGATAAAAGCTGAGCAAAAAATGTAGTCCCTGCCTTCATAAAGCACTTGATCTAGTACAGGGGGCCGCTAAACAAAAGAATTCAAGGATGAAGAAGCAATGGGAGTAGTATTGATTCCACAGGGAGAGTTTTAAAAAGCTCTTCAGAGAATTGATGCTAGAGTGAATTCTGCACAGAGTGCTGGTCACAAAGGTGAGGTATACACCTATAAGCAGAGCACAAATTCACAGGGGCAGATTCACAGGGGTAGGAGAATAGAAGGAAGCACACCTGGTGAACCGTGGAGAATCTGGAAGGAAGGGTGTTGAGTGGAAACAGTAAATGAAAATTTTGTAGAAATAGGTCAAAGCTGGAATGCAGGAGTCATTGAATGAAATGCAGAAGAATTTGGATATTATTCTGGGCTAATGGAAAGCCGCCATAGGATCTTACACTGGAATGATATAGTTAGAACTGAGTTGTGGGAAAAGCTCTACTAATGTTGTATAGTTGTTTGTTACAGCATCCAGGGCTGGTTGGAAATTAAAATGCTACCAAATTATAAAAGGTCAACCCAAAAACTTTGTCATCAGTGGATTTTCCTCTTGCTAAATCACTGCTTTGATGTGGAATCATTTAAGCAAAGATAGTACTACTAATAAAAGATCTCTTCCTAGGTTTCCTAGGTCTTGAGCTGAGAAGTTGAGTTCTCTTTATTTGATTTCAGGATCATCATCCATCCCAACAGGGCCAAGGTGGGCTACATGGGATCTACCTAAGGGCCTTCTGCACAGGGCTGGATTCAGTTTTGCAGCCTTATCGCCAAGCACTGCTTGATTTGGAACAAGAGGTAAGAAAGAAATAATATAGAAAACAATACCTTTGGGGTAGCAGATCAGAGTGTGTTCTTGAATCTGAAGTACCCCTTTGATAAGGTCAGATAGTTAAGCGTGAGCTGTTTCCTGTGATGCTGGAAAGTACAATACTCTGATGGCCTAAGCCATGATCAAAGTGGCTCAGGGATGACAGCGAAAAATTCCAACTATTTTTAAGAGCCCTTGCTTTGGTTTCTTTATCATCTAAAAAAGAAAGCCTAATTAATAATCTTCTATAAGCTGTTAATTCTGCAGAGCATAAAACTAAATCAGATTCTCTTCTAGTTTTTATAGAGCAGACTGAGTCAAATTATTTTATGTGAAGTGCTAATCACAGTGTTCTTTATTGCAGTTCCTGACTGACCCTCATCTCTCTGTATCGCATGTCAACTACTCCTTAGATCAGGTATGCTGGCCAAATAGCAAAATGGCTTGGAACCTGTTCCTGTCGTTACAATAATCCAATTTATGGCATTATATTAAAAGCTTTTTTCCTTATGGTGTCAGAGCCCAAATAATTATATTTTTGTGCTTTGCTAGATAGGAACTGCTTAAATAGTTCCAAATTTAAACCTGGTGTAGTGTCTACCTGTAATCCCAGTAGTCAGGAGGCAGAGGCAGGAGCAAACTCGAAGCCAACCTGATCTATAAGTTCCAGGCCAGCCAGGCTTGTCTGAAAAAACTAAACAACAAAGGAGTTCCAGATTTACTTAACAGTGTAATGTGAATGTTCTCCTGTTGACATGAATATTGACAGAGACACTATCCTCAAAAGTAGAAATTGTTTCCATTCTCCATTTTCTTTGCAGCCAACCTGACATCAAATTGCCTTAGAATACTGGATCTTAACTGTCCTGTGGTATTTCCCTTTTATCTTAAATTAGACTATTCAGAAACAAAAGCATTTTTTTGAGTTGGTTTTTTATAATCCTATTTGATTACATACTCTTAATTTTCTCTACTTTGCAGTTCCAGCTCCTGTTTCCCTCTGTGATGGTTGTAGTAGAGCAAATTAAAAGTCAAAAGGTGAGAATTTTCCTTTTGCTCTGATACGCATCAAGGAAATATTAATAATGTTTTAGAATCTTTTTAAAAGACATTAATTTTCAGTAGTTTTTACTTGTTATTCATCCAGTTTTTGTTTATTTATCATAAAAAATGTCAGGAATGCAAAAATATGACATCATGCTGTCTTTAAGTACCTTGTAATTCAGAAAGCAGAGGAAATAAATGAACCCAAGAAGGTTGCTGGGGTAAGGCCAAGATCCTATGGATGTTTGAAGGGGAGAGCAGTTTGCCTGAGGGATAGAACTGTTGGGTTTGAATATGGAGGGGAATAGTACTCCTTGAAAAGAAATAAGGTAATAGGTTTATGTTTAAAGTACTGGCAGTTTTCTGAGAATTAAGAAATCACCAGACAAAACTCAGCTTATTTTATTCATTCAAGATGCCTATTGTCACAAGTTTCATCATACACATTAAGATGAGATTGTCTTTTCTGGGTGGAGTTAATCTCTCTGAAGAAACAGATGCATTGAGATTTCACACTAGAATATCTTTATCCATAATTGGACCAAGTGCACAAATGCATCAAACATGCTCAGCGCAGTTCTTCATGTTTTTAGGCTCTCTTATTTGTTCCTTAGCTCATTGAGGACATTTCCCTTGGAGAATAGAACTAGTTAACCAGTTAACTTCCACATAGCTATTTTGTTTTTTCTGTGTGAGTGAAGAAATTGAATGCTCTGCTACATTGATTCTGTGCTGGCAAAACTGAAAGAAAGGTGCTCTTCAGAGCTACAACATCTGATTTTTTTTATTTTTTTATTTTATTTTTTTATTTTTTGCCTTTTTGAGACAGGGTCTCCCTGTAGCCCCAGCTGTCCTAGAACTCACTATGTAGACCAGGCTGGCCTTGAACTCACAGAGATCTGCCTGCCTCTACCTCCCGAGTGCTGGGATTAAAGGTGTATGCCACGACACCCGGCCAGCATCTGATTTTTATTGTACACTTGCTCTTACCACACTGTGCTGTGTTTTACAGATGTGATCATATGTACTTAGACTCACACAGATGGAGGTATATGATAGATCTGGGATGTAGACCTAGTCTGTATACCTCCAAAGACAATGTTCTTAACTACTGTATTAAACTCACTCTCAAAATGGGAGGGAGCCTTCTACATGAATGGAGTTAGAAGTTCGGGGACAGAATTCCATACCTAGTTCCATATCTCAGTTGATTCTCACCTTTCATTGGCTACAGGAAGAATGGAAAACAGAGGGATTTAGGTAGGTGAACACTAATGACCAGGATGGTACTAGATAAATGAGTGTGCTAATGCTCCACAGTTAAAAAATGAGGTGGTCAGGAGCATGGGCTGAGGGTGAGAACGGGGACCTGCACACAGGCTCACAAGAGGGGGCTATTTTGGGAGTGGTGAAATATTAAAACTGTATTATGGTAATGCTTGCATAATGCAAATAGTACACTTAGGTAGATGTGAAAACAAATAGTACACTTAGGTAGATGTGACTTTAGGACATACAAATTATATCTCAAAGCAATTAATAAGGAAAACCTGAAGGACTTGGATATTGTGAATTAGAGGCAAAGCACATACTTTACAAGTAGTCTGACTTAGTCTTATCCTAAAAGAAAGACTTTTCCTTGGCTTTGAAGTTCCAACTCCACACAACTCTGCTTTCTTCAGTGCATTGACTTGCAAACCAATATGTATATTAGAATCACCTGGAGTGCTTGTTAAACCATAGGTTTCTGGACTTTACTCCCAAAATTTGCATATCTGCCAAGGTCACAGCACTGCTGATGATGAGGGGAGGGGTCTGTTGTTGAGAATTACTATATAGAAATCCTGGCAGAAAATATATCAATCTTTTCTCCTGGACTATGCCCTCTTGTTTGAATATAGGATATGAGTTTATATAACTCAGATTGACAAGGCTGTATTTTCCACAGATTCATGGTTGTCAAATCCTGGAAACAGTCTACAAACATAGCTGTGGGGGTTTGCCTCCAGTTCGAAGTGCATTAGAAAAGTAAGTCTTGGAGTCCTTAGGGATTGGGATGCAGATGGGGGATCAAGTGACTTGATTTTTCACATTTCATTTTCAGGTCATATGAAAATCTCTGGGAAAAATTCTGAGCAGAATAGAAAAGTCTCAGGGCTGAGGAGCTGGCTTAGTGAACAAAGTACTTGCTATGTGAGCATGAAGACCTGAGTCCACATCCCCAGCACCCATGTAAAAAGCCAGGAGTGGCAACCTGCACCTGTAATCCCCAGACTGGGAAAGTAGAGACAGGAGGGTCTTTAGGGCTTGTTGCCCAGTCATGCTAGCTGAATTGGTGAGCTCCAAGAATTGGTGAGCTCCAAATATAGTGAGAGACCTTGTCTCCAAAAATAAGATGAACAGTGACTGTGGGAGACACCTAAACTCAGCCTCTGGCCTCCACATCCACACACGTATATACACAAAGAAAAGCCTTATGAGGCACCAGGCATGGTGGTACACTGGGAGGTAGAGGCAGACAGGGGGATCAGGAATTCAAGGTCATCTCAGATAAATTGAAAGTTTGATGCCAGCAAGAGAAAAGAGAAGGGGAAAGGCGGGGAGGGAAGGAAAGTGAGAAAAGTAAGGGGGTGAGATAGAGAAAAAGAGAAAGATAAGATACAGGGGCTGGGTCAGTCAGTAAAGTGTGTGCCTTGCAAGCACAAGGACCTGACTTTAATTCCCAAAAACAATGTCGAAAAATAAAGACAGAAGCTAGGCATGGTGGTATGGTCTTTAATCCCAGCCCTCAGGAGGCAGAGGCAAGCACACTTAGTGACTTCCAGGAGGGACAGAACTAGGGAGACCCTATCAAAACAAAACAAAAGCCAGGATTGGAGGGAAATGTGGATAACATCTGAGGTTGTCCTCTGGCTTATATATGTACATTCACACAAAAACAAAAAGGAAAAGGAAAAGCCTTGTGAGCAAGGTGCTCATATAATCCAAAGAGAGGGTTATAGAGTGAAGTTTGAAAGCCAGAGGCTTTAGATGGGGCTGGAGAGATGGCTTAGCAGTTAAGAGCACTGGCTGTTCTTGCAGAAGACCCAAGTTCAAATCCTAGCACCCACATGATGGCTAACAACCATCTGTAACTCCAGTTCTGGGGGATCCAGCACCCTCTTCTGTCCTCCATGGACACTGCATGACACAGGTGCACTTACACACATGCAGGTATAACATTTACACACATAAAATTAAAATAAATAAATTTGAAAAAAATCAAAGCCAGGATTTAGCTGCCAAGTTGACCTTGAGACCAGCCTTTTTAATGTTGGATCTCATTATCATTGCAGGATTCCTATTACATGTACCAGATAATGCTTGCTATGTTAAAATGTGGGTATTTGAGAAGCTATGTGGTGGCACACTCCTTTAATCCCAACATTCAGGAGGCAGAGGCAGATGGATCTCTGTGAGATCAAGGCCAGCCTGGTCTACATAGTGAGTTCCAGTTCAGCTGGGGATACAGGGAGACCCTGTCTCAAAAAGACAAAAAAAAAAAAAAATGTGTATTTGAGTAGCCTTAAAATGTTTATACTTTATAATCATATAATGCCACTCTTAGAAATTTTATCTTAGAAATTTAATCCTAATAAATTGTTTTATTATTTGTGTGGTGTTGTGGTATTTCTGTACATGTATGTGCAAGTACATGAGCCCTCAGAGGCCAGAGGAGGACACTGGGTGTCCTGCTCTACCACTCTCTGTCTTATTTCCTTTAGGCAGGCTCTCCCACTGAGCCTGAAGCTTGGAGCCCCTTTGGCTAGGCTCTGGCCAAAAACCCAGAATCTGCCTGCCTCTATTTCCCAACACTGGAGTTGCAGGCATATGCAGCCATGCCCAGCTTTTACATAGGTGATGGGGATTCAAACTCGGGCCCTCATGCTTGCTGAGCAAGCACTCTTACCCACTACACCATCTTCTCAGTCCCCCAACAAAATTATTTAAAAGAAGAAAGTAACTCACTGCTATGTTTTCTGTTCTATCAGGAGATTAGAAAATTGCCAAGAGTATAAGAAAAACTAGGGCCACTGAAATGGCTCAGTAGGTAAGGAGCTGGCTGCCAAGCCTGACCACCTGAATTGACCACCTGCGTTCAATCCCCAGAACCCTCATGGTGGAAGGAGAGACCAACTCCTGCAAGTAGTTCTCTGAACTCCACACACATGCACTGAGGCAACAGGTGTGTCAACACACATGCATGCACACACAAAAATAAATGTTTTTAAATTTTAAATATTTTATTTTATGTGTATGAGTGTATTGCCTACATGTGTATAAGTGCACCTATTGTACAATTCCCAAGGAGATCAGAAGAGGGCATCAAATTCCCTTGGAACTGAAGTTACAAATGGGTGTTAGCTGCCATGTGGATGCTAGGAACGGAACCCAGGTCCTCCACAACAGCAGCCAGTGCTTGTAGCTGCTGAGACGTCTCTCCAGCCCCAGTTTTTAAAATTTAAAGAAACACTAAATATGTATTCACTAGATTATAAAGCCATTAAAATTATAACTACCACAGTAACATATAAAATATTTTTATAATGAAAACTCTATAAAATTGTATTTATAATTACAACTGTTTAAAAATAGAGAAAGAGGGTTTGGGGGTATGTGGCTTTGTACAAGGCCCTGGGTTCAGTTGTCAGCATTATAAGAAAAAAAGTAGGGCCTAGAGAGATGGCTCAGTGGTTAAGAGCACTGACTGCTCTTGCAGAGGACCCGGGTTCGATTCCCAGCACCCACATGGTGGCTACAAACCATCCTTAACTGCAGTTCCAGGGGAATCCAAAGCCCTCTTCAGACTTCCGTGGCATTGTACAACACAGGTGCACTCACATACATGCAGGCAATACACTCATACACATAAAATAAAAATATTATTTTTTAAAAACTATTTTTTTAAAAAAGAAAAAAATAGAGAATGATCAGAGGCTGTCCATTTAATGTTATTTCCTTTTCCTTGTGTCTAAAAAGGAAAGTATAGCATTAATTCCAAAATTGTAGTGGTCAGCTCTGAGGCCCTCCACACCTTAATCACCTCTGTTTCCACTTGTCTTAGTCCCTTTTCTGTAGCTGTGATGAAATACCATGACAGAAGCAACTTAAGGAAGGAAAGGTTTATTTATTTATTTATTTTATTATTTTTATTTTATGTGTATGAGTGTATTGCATGCATGTACGTAAGTGCACCCGTGTCATGCAGTGCTACAGAGGTCAGAAGAGGGCTTCGGATTGGATTCCCTTGGAACTGGAGTTAAGGACGGTTCATAGCCACCATGTGGGTGCTGGGAATCGAACCCTGGTCTGCAAGAGCAGTCAGTGCTCTTAACCACTGAGCCATCTCTCCAGCCCCAGGAAAGGTTTATTTTGGCTCATAGTTCCAGGGTACAGCCTGTCATGGTGGAAAAGTCATGGTAACTGGAGCTGGAGGGAGCTGGTCACATTAATCCACAGTCAGGAAGCAGAGGAAGGTGAATTTGACTAGTGTTCAGCTTCCTTTCTCCATTTTATAGGGTCCAGGATCCCAGCAAGTTAAGATGGGTCTTCCCATCAGTTAACCTAATTGTTAGTCATTCTCAAAGGCTAACCTTAATCTAGCTAATCTCTCACAGGTGATTGTACATCTCATCAAGTTGACAGTTTGAACTAAGGCTTACTCCACTATACAAGTCAACCATTAAAACAGCAGGAAACTTTTTAGAACATGCTTTAGACAATGTCCTCTATTAATGTTTTTACATGTAGAATGTAAAATTTTATGTAAATAATACAACACACATTTTTGGTTTTGTGCTAGGGATCAAACCCCAGGGCCTATGCAATATATCTTTGGTTTTGGTTTTGGGGGTGTTTTGTTTTGCTTTGCTTTGCTTTTTGAGATGGGGTTTCCCTGTAGGCCCAGCTGGCCTGGCACTCGCTAAGTAGACAGGGCTGGCCTTGAACTCAGAGATTTGCCTGCCTCTGCTTCCAGAGTGCTGGGATTAAAGGTGTGCGCCACCATGCCTGGTGCAATATATATTTGTTACTTATTGTCAGGGATGAAGCTTTATAGAACAAGTACTCAGGTAAACATAAGTGTAAGTGGCTTCCTCTTTAATTTAAAAAAAAAACAAAACAAAAAACATGGGTCTGGAGAGATGGCTTAGTGGTTAACAGCACTGACTGCTCTTGCAGAGGACCCAGGTTCAATTCCCAGCATCCACATGGCAGCTACAACAGGTGTTACTCATATACATGCAGGGAATACACTCATACACATAAAATAAAAATAATAAATAAAATATTTTTTTAAAACATTTATTTGTGTGTGTATATACATGTATTTGTACATGCTTGTTAAGGTCAAAGGACAATTTGCAGAAGTTGGTTCTTTCCACCATGTGGGTCCTGGGGATCAATAAAGTCAGGTTTTTAGTCTTGGTGACAAGAGCTTTAATCCATTGAGCCATCTCACTAGCCCCCTAATATGACTCTTTTAAAAAGAGAGTTTCCAGGCCAGGTATGGTGGTGCACGCCTTTAATCCCAGCACTCGGGAGGCAGAGGCAGGCAGATCTCTATGAGTTCAAGGCCAGCCTGGTCTACATAGTAAGTTCTAGGACAGCTAGGGCTACAGGGAGACCCTGTCCCAAAAAGACCCTCCCCCAAAAGTTTCCATGGAGTTCATATATTACAAATAATAGACTAAAGCTGTTTCTTTTCTCTCCAACTCTTTATTTTGAAAAATGTCAAGCCTACAAGAAAGTTGAAAGACTATTACAGTAAACACTGAGCATCCTTTCATTTTACCAGTTAACATTTTGCCATGTTTCTCTTTTCTTTCTCCTGTATGCTTTGTGTTATACATACACATCCTCCAGTTTTGAATCATTAGAAAGTAATTGCAGGTATCATAAATATGAGCTAAATAGTTTAGCTAATATCTCTTAAGATAAAAGGCATTCTCTTTTTTTCTTATAGAACACCAATACCATATACCCAAGAAAGTTAACATTAATGCAATAACATAATATCCAGAATATATCAAGATTTTTCCAGTTGTTCCCCAAAAGTCCAGTACAGCTACTGTTTCTTACAATCCAGAATCCAGTACATTTTCATTTAATTGCAATTGGTTATGTGTTTTTAGTCTTTGTCTCCTTCCCTTCTCTCCCCAGGCATGAGCTACCACATCTGGTTCTTTTTAGTCTCTTTCAGTTTAAAACACCTCCTTCACCTTTGGTTGTTGTCTTTGATGATAATGACATTTTCCAAGAGCTCTTACCAGTTGTCTGTAGAATGCCCACAATTTAGATGTAGCCGATTCATTCTTCCTGATTAGATTCAGGTTAAACATCTTCAGCAAGTAGACTACACAGGTGATATTATTTCCTATTCCATCATATTAGAAGGCACAGAAGGTAAGTTTATCCTATGACTGCTATTGTGAAGTTTAAGAACTTGGTTTAGGTATTATCTGTCAGATCTGTCTACTGTAGAGGTACCTTTCCCTTTGTAATTAATATCCTGTCTAGCTACCCTTTAACACCATCTCAATAGCCTATTCCCAACAACCTTCCTACATTTTATTGTTGAATAATATGTTTTCCCATCAACCTGGTACTCACATATTGAATCTTTTTCTATATGACAGAATCAACAAGAAGAAAATAAATTCAAGGCTGTGTTAGCCATTATATCTACTTAATAGGACTTATCAGTTCTAAGACTTAACTTTACACAAATGGAGGAAAGAAAATATTTTTTCCCTAAAAGAACATTTACTGAACTTAAGTATATAGTACATATTACATACTGGGTTTAAATATGTACTTAAGTATGAAAATTTATGCAGTCTATAAGAAATTGAATTAGCACAATTTTTTTTTAAATTTTATGTATATGCGTATTATTGCCTGCATATAGGTAAGTGCACCTGTGTCATGCAATGCTCGCGGAGGTCAGAAGCTGTTGGATCCCCTGGGACTGGAGTTACGGACAGGTGTTAGCTGCCATGTAGGTGCTGGGATTTGAACCTGGGTCTTCTGCAAGAACAACCAGTGTTCTTAACCGCTGAGCCATCTCTCTAGCCCCCTAGCACAATTATTTTTAACTTATTCCCCAAACTCTCAAGTCTGTCTTCATCCTATAGCAATTTGAAATGTGATCTCTGTGGCCTCGGTGGGGGTCAGTATTCACCAAGTAGTTTTGTAAGGTCCTTGCTCTCCTCTCTCCTAGAATCTTGGCTGTGTGCCATGGGGTCATGTATAAACAGCTCTCAGCCTGGATGCTACATGGACTCCTCTTAGACCAGCACGAAGAGTTCTTTATCAAACAGGGTCCATCTTCTGGTAATACCAGTGCCCAGCCAGAAGAGGATGAGGAGGATCTGGGCATTGGAGGACTGACAGGAAAACAACTGAGAGAACTCCAGGACCTGGTGAGAGCACAGCAGGAAACCCATCTCACACTCCCAGGAGTCAGAAACCTCCATGGCTTACTCATCTACTGAGCCCTCCTTAGCTCACCATTACTTGAGTGCCTTCCATAGATGGATTTAGCTGTAAACACTGGTTTTCTCTTAATTTGTGTGAGACTACCAAATAGAAAGTGCAGTTAAGTTCTTGTTTCTCCTTTTCACATTACATGTATTTAAGTTTTATCTCTACAGACAAGAGCCACTCTAGCATTTTAATGTGGTTTGGAGTTCTAAATAGACTCCTTAAAGTATTGTCTGCAATTGTTCATCTACTTGTTCATTTATCTTGTTACGTTCATTGAATGCCTGTTACTGTTATGTGCTGGGCACTGTTTTAGGTATCCACCTACATAGACAAAATGTATCCTATCCTTAGGAAGATTAGATTTAATAGACAGTACAGAAAAGCAAAGTTACAGTGTGCCAGATGCTCTGCCAGATAACTGTTCTTGGAACATGTCTTGGAGTAGGGTTTATAACTGGAGAAGACTTCAGTGCAATATATGTTGAGATTTGCAGAATGGTTTTTCTGTTGTGTACTCCAGGCTATCTGGCCCGAAAGCTTCTAAGGGGTCTCCTGTCTCCACTCCCATCTCCCGGCAGGGATGCTGTGATTACAGATGCTAGTACTACAGTGACTGGCTTTTACATGGGTTCTGAAGATTTGAACTAAGGTTCTCACACTTGAACATCAAGCACTTTTACCCACAGAGCCATCTCTTCTGCCCAACACCAAGTTTTTAAATATAAGGCTTTTATTTATCATTTTGCCTTTGCCACTCTGTTAAGTGGGCAGACAATATACTCCCTTACTTGTACAATGAAGGACTGGGTGGCATTCCTTCAGGTCTCATAAATATGTCTGTTCCAGGCTGGAGAGATGGCTCAGCAGTTAACAGCACTTGCTGCTCTTGCAGAGGACCCAGGTTTGATTCCCAGCACACACATGGTGGCTAAAACCAGTTCTAGGGGAATTTGATGCACTCTTCTGACATTCATAGGCATTGCATGACATGGGTGTACTTACACACATGCAGGCAATACACTCATACACATAAAATAAAAATAATAAAATATTTTTAAAAAGTGCCAGGGGTAATGGTGACACCTTTAATTCTAGCACTCGGGAGGCAGAGGCAGGTGGCTCTGTGCAAGTTCAAGGCCAGTGTTGTCTACATAGTGAGTTCCCCGCTAGCAGGGGCTACAGAGTGATCCTGTCTCAAAAAGACCAAAAATAAATAATAAATAAAAGATAAATAAATAAAAAGCAAATAGGGGGCTGAAGAGATGGCCCAGCAGTTAAGAGCTCTGTCGGCTCTTATAGAAGACCCAGGTTTGAATCCCAGCACCCGTATGGTAGCTAATAACCATCTGTAACTCTAGTTCCAGGGTATCCCATACCCTCTTCTGCCCTCCGTGGGCATTGGATGACATGGGTACACTTACATACATGCAGGCAATATACTCATACACATAAATAACAGCTGGGGGCACTGATAACACAGTGGACAGTAACAGGGATGGAAAAGTATATGGGCTCCAGTGGTGGGGGGCAGGGGGAGGCTATGGGAGGGTTCCATTTGGGATGTGTGTATAAAGATGAATAAGATTGTTTGGGATGTTCTGTATGAAATACAAAAAAATCTCAAAATAAAAAAAAATAAGCCAGGCATGGTGGCGAACACCTTTAATCCCAGCACTTGGGAGTCACAGGCAGGCAGACCTCTGTGAGTTTGAGGCCAGCCTGGTCTCCATAGTGAATCTGGGCCAGCTGGGTCTACAGGGAGACCCTGTCTCAAAAAAAAAAGACCAAAAGGAAAATAATAATTATAATAATTAAAAAATAAAAATAAATTTTTAAAAATCATAATTAATTAAAAATAGATATATAAATGTATCTGCTCTGTCAGGGTTCCTCAGGGCCTACTTAAGACCCTTTTTCCCTAAATGAGCCAGGAGGTCCTCACTATCTACACACATAGATCCTGAACTTACTAAAGAGGCGTCCTGAGCAGCTCAAAGCAGGAGGACTCATTTGTGCTTAATACCATTATTCAGTGGCAACATAATTATACTACAACATAGTATAATAAACTCAGTCTTTATATTACAATAGATTTTTTAGCATAAAGTCTAATTTCCTCATTTGAGTAAGAACTGATGAGTCTACTGTGGAAGTCTAGGCAATGAGTGCTTTCCAGCATCATTTTAAGATTTAAAAGAATATCTGGGTGCACTTGGGAGGCAGAGGCAGGTGGATCTCTGTGAGATCAAGACCAGTCTGGTCCACATAGTGAGTTCCAGGCCAGCTGGGGCTACAGGGAGACCCTGTCTCAACAAGAGAAAAAGAATATCTTGAGTTACCTTCAGCTGGCCAAGTAAATCTGACTCCTCTCCCATCAGCTTCCAACAGAGACCTCAAAGTGGGAGGTGAGGACTGACACCAAAAGTTTTCCTTTGACCTTCACATGTACACTATGGCAAACGTATGCCAACAGTCACAAAAATACACACACACACACACACAGAGTACACGCAGAGATAATTAAAAAGAATAAACTCGGTGCTTTCCACCATGTTACTGTTCTGCCTGAAAATGTTAATATATTTCCAAAGCACTATAGTGATTTAAGAATTTTACAACTTTGGTGATGGAGAGATGCTCAGAGGTCAAGAGGGCTGGCGACTCTTACAAAGGACCCAGGTTTGGTTCCCAGCACCCACCATGTACAAGCAACACACTCATACACATAAAATAAAAATTAATTTAAAAAGAATTGTACAACTTCAGATTTACAGTCTCTGCTTAGCAATAATGTAGATCATGAGCTGGGAGAATCACTCAATCTTTTTTTACTGTATACTTCATTTTTGATATGGATTATATTCCTTCACTAGCGCCTAATTGAGGAAGAGAACATGTTGGCCCCATCTCTGAAGCAGTTTTCCCTGCGGGTAGAGATTTTGCCATCCTATATTCCAGTAAGAGTTGGTGAAAAAATCCTCTTTGTTGGAGAATCTGTCCAGATGTTTGAGACTCAAAATGTGAACCTGACTAGAAAAGGTAAGACCCTCCCTGTCCAGTGTGCCCCATCCTCAGAGGCTCTTCATTCATAGCGATGGACCCAAAGCATGTTTGGTTAGAATGGCTGGTGACGCTGGAACTGCCATAGCAAAACAATGCTGATAGGCTTGCCTGAGAAGCTGTGGCCCTCTCCAAACCCTGTCTGTCCTCCTTTGACAGTGCCTTTGTATTCTGTAGGATCCATTTTGAAGAACCAGGAGGACACTTTTGCTGCAGAGCTGCATCGGCTCAAGCAGCAGCCGCTCTTCAGCTTAGTGGATTTTGAGCAGGTGGTGGATCGAATTCGTAGCACTGTGGCTGAGGTTTGTCTTTTGTCTTTTATTGCTCCAGAAGAAATGAGTTAGTGCCCACACCCAGCTTTTACATGGGAGTTGGGAATCTGAGCTCAGATTTTTTATTTTCTTTTATAAAATTTCTTAGTTCCGTAAAACCTGCTTTTCTCTTTATTTCCTTCCGTCTTACTTTATTTTCCCTTTAAAACACATTGTAACATATATAAAAATATAAAATGATACATACTAATGGAAAGCCATTGAGTATTTCAGTGCATGTGTATGTTGTCTAATGTTTTAAACCAGGATAAACATATTTGTCTCCTTGAGTATTATCATTTCTTTATGATGAAAACTCTCAAAATCCTTTCTTCTAACTTGAAATGAGCAATAATGTTTGTTAGCTCTAGTCACCCTGCAGTGCAGTAGCTGGCACACCAGAGCCTCTGCGCCTGTCTGCTTGGCTGGCCTTTCCCCGGCCCTCCCCTCATATGTTGTCTGTCTTAAACTGAGGTGTTTCAGTTTTTTCATTTTGATGCTGAGTTTTTGGAATTCTTATATACTCTGAATATCAGTCACTTGTCAAATATAGTTTACAAATATTTTCTTCCATTTGTAAGTGGTCCCGAATGCGGTCTGTTGGGTTTTGTTTAGTTTTTTTCCTTTGCTGTGCAGAAGTTAGTAGTTTGATACAATCTCATTTATTTTTGCTTTTGTTTCTTGTACTTTTAAGGTTTTGTCAAAAACAAAAAATCTGGGTGTGGTGGCAAACACCTTTAGTCCCAGCACTCAGGAAACAGACACCTTTGGTCCCAGAACTCAGGAAACAGAGGCACATCTCTGTGAAAGCTTGGTCTACAAAGTGAGTTCCAGGACAGCTGGGGCTGCAGGGAAACCCTGTCCCCAAAAGACCAAAATAAACAAACAAATGAACAAAGCAGCAACTTCACGTGTGGCTGGCTCTCAGGCACTCCTCTGTGTTCTTTGAGCTCATCATAGTTTCAAGTGTTACATTTAAGACTTTAATCCATTTTGCATTGATTTGGGGGGGATGGAGCCGAGGGGGTTGAGACAGGGTCTCCCTGTAGCCTCAGCTGGCCTGGAACTTGATATGTAGACCAAGCTGGCCTCAATCTCACAGAGATCTGCCTGCCTCTGTCTTCCCAGCTTGCATTGATTTTTTTTTTTTTTAAAGCTGGTGACAGATGGGGACTTAGTTATATTTTTCTGCATGTGGATATCCAATTTTCATAGCACCACTCATTGAAGCCCATCTTTCCTTTAGTACATGTTCATAGTCATAAAGGTTTTTTTTTTCTTTTCTTGAAATTTTATAGTTTTCAGCCCTATTTTAAGTCTATGATCAATTTGAGTTCAGTTTCTCTGGCATAAGGTATGCATCAAGTTTTAACTTTATTTTCTTTTTTACTATTTAAAAATTTTTTAATTTAATAACCACATGATTAGAAGAAGCATTTCATTACAGCTTTAACATATTCAATAATAATTTCCAGAGCAAAGATACATCTCTTTCAAAAGTGGCTGTAAATTTTTAGGTTCACAGTTGAATTAATAGTTATACAATATTGAACTCAGTATAAACCCTGTAAGACATAAAATTGAATGAGTTTTTAACCTTTAAAAAAGATCTCCATTTCATTTAAAAGTATACTGTTTCCTACAGAAACTCATTTTTTAAAAAAATATTTTCATTTGTTATTTTATATGTATGAGTGTATTGCCTGCATGTATGTGAGTGCACCCGTGGTCGTGCAGTGCCGCAGAGGTCAGAAGAGGGCTTCAGATTCCTCTGGAACTGGAGTTAAGGACGGTTCATAGCTGCCATGTGGGTGCTGGGAGTGAACCTGGGTCCTCTGCAAGAGCAGTCAGTGCCCCTAACCACTGAGCCATCTCTCCAGCCCCAGAAAGACTCATTTTTAATGCTATTAACACTTAGAAATAATATTTGCATGCATCTCTAATTTCTATGTATCTGATTATTACTAGTCACAGTCGGTTACACTCAGATCCTTGGCACCTGAGTATGGATATAAAGTCATCAGGCAGATTTCAATGGTAATGTTTATCACCTCTACTAATTAACATGAAGTAAATTTTTATGCTTCCTCCTCAAATATGTCATTTTTTATTTGTTAATTTTTTTGTGTGTATATCATATAGAATATCCCAAACAATCTTATTCATCTATATACCCATTTCCCAAATGGCACCCTCCCATAGCCCCCCCCCCCAACCCACTGGAGTCCATATACTCTGTCATCCCTGTTACTGTCCACTCTGTTGTCGCCAACCATTCTGCCCCCCCAGTGCAAGTCCATTTGCTGGTTCTAGTCAGCCTTTCTAGAGTTCCTTGTTTTAGGAAGATCAGCTCTTCCTCATCTAGCAGCAAACAGTTGCCAACAATCCTTTAGATAAGATTGGGGTCTGCTGTTCATTTTCCCAGTTCTGTGCTGGGTTAGTGTAAAAATTATATTGACCCCTTTAATCTTTGGTTATACTTTCCTTTTGGGTGTAAGAGCCTACAATTGGCCCAGATAAACCAATTTATTTTTACTCTTAAGGCTGTTTGAGGATCTGTTCCTCAGGGGTCACATGGGTTTGGGAGGAGCCCCTGACTCCTTTCTTTTACCAGTTCTGTCTATGTGAAGTTAAGTCAGAGGTCCAAAATTATATTGACCCCTTTAATCTTTGGTTATACTTTCCTTTTGGGTGTAAGAGCCTACAATTGGCCCAGATAAACCAATTTATTTTTACTCTTAAGGCTGTTTGAGGATCTGTTCCTCAGGGGTCACATGGGTTTGGGAGGAGCCCCTGACTCCTTTCTTTTACCAGTTCTGTCTATGTGAAGTTAAGTCAGAGGTCCTGCTCAGCCGTGGCTGGCTTCGCTTGGAAGCATTGAGGAAATGTTTCCTCTGTGTTGACCCTCCTCTTTGGAGACTGGACACTGGCTGGTTCAAGTCCATCTGGTGGGGTCTCTATGGCTTCCTTGATCAAGAGGACAGGTGACTCACCACAGTTACAGGACATTTTGAAAGATGCTCATAGTCCCCTGGAACTTAGTCGACTTAGGAGGGCAAGGAGCAAAAACTGTCCTTTAAGTCCCTCTGACCAAATTAGTATAGGCCTCAAAGTATAGCTGTTAAACATCCAAGAAGGTTAGTTCCACCAGTCTGGTTCTTTTTTTGTTTTGTTATGTTTTTGTTTTTTGTTTTGGTGTTTTTGAGACAGGGTCTCCCTGTAGTCCCAGCTGGTCTGGAACTTGCTATGTAGACCAGGCTGGCCTCAGACTCACAGAAATCTGCCTGCCTCTATCTCCCAAATCCTGGGATTATAGGTGCGTGCCACCACACCTGGCCCAGTCTGGTACCTTTAATTACCATGTGTCATGTAGGTAAAACTTGGGCAAAGACCAAACGTTCTCAGATAAACCTTGCCTAGATATGCATTATATTCTTTGATATAGTTTTATGTATAATTTGTCAGTAGGTTGTTGGGCTAATATGGTTCCCTCTGGTTTTTTAAAACTAGCTAGGCATTATTTATCTCTCACATTGTCTAACCCTTCCACCATGGTTTCCCCATTTCAGATGCCCCCATTTCTCCCATTTCTCCCTTAATAATACCTTTCTCCTATGGTCCCACCTCTCTTGAGTTCCTTCTTTCCCTTTAACCCCTAGGTTCCTTATATAACCTTCCCTCCCCCACTCCCCTTAAAATAACCCCATTTTTATCCATATCTCCTTTACTAATGCCTGTTTCCTACTGTTCTTCTCTTTCAGGTTCTTTCTTTTCCTTTACCTCCCTGGTTCCTTTTCATTATCCTGATTCCTGTAGTTATGTCTGGATACATACTCACTTATAAGGATTTGGTGCTAGGATCCACATATGAGGGAGAACATACATTGTTTTCTTTCTGAGTCTGTTACTTAATTTAGTATAACAGTTTCTAGTTCCATCCATTTACTTGCAAATTTCATGATTTCATCTTGCTTTTACTCCTGAGTAAAACTCCATCATATAAATGAACCACAATTTCATTATCCACTTGTCAGCTGAGGGACACTT